GATTTTAATGTCATAGTTTAAAGGAAGACAGAGAGTGTATACATCGACGCCATTGTGATCGATTCTGAGCCATGTCATCCCGTCTCCAAGCATTGGTTACGATAGTCACGTGGACCCCAACAAAGTAGTTTGCATCTATCAACATGGCTAAGACCAAGTTGAATACACCAGTTCAATGGAATATAGACCGTAAGTTGTGTTTTATTTGGGATTAGTCAATTGAATTTATCTGCATCTTGATGATCACGTTAAGATTTGAATCTAAAACCTTTCATTTCAAATACCAACTTATTCAGATAGCCCCTAGATCGTCTAATGTGTATGAATTTTATTGTAGCACAGAGCATTTTTGATACCTTAAAAAAATGAGTCTTTATTTCCTTACCATTTAGAGGTGACTCAAATAGTCTCAGGCTGAAACGAAGACTTAATGTAGAATTAAAACTTGAATGTTCAGTTTATTGTAAATGCTTAAACAATTTAGTTAAAAGTAAACAAACTTCAATTCCGCCTATTGCCCCCCTGGGGCTACTGCCAGTCCCAAGCCCGGATAAATGAGAAGGGTTGGGCATGGGGTTATCGACTCTATCCCATAGAAAACGAACTCGCTAAGAAAAAAACGCTAACCAGAAAACCAAACCTCAACAAGAGCTTACATTATGTAATAGGGTACTAATCTATATAATAAAAAAAATAAAGATAACTACCTACTTAGTGGAGGAGGAGGGAATAATTAGCACTCATAATTTTTAAGATCATTGGAGAATAAAGTACCGAACACGAATTTCCTGAGCCGAGTTCGCATTTGATATAGTAAATCATTATAACCTCAACTATACACAAACTGCTTATCCAAACCTCTTTGAGACTTTTCTTTTTAATTTGTGGAGGATTTTGAACGAAGATTCACGAGATGGAGTGTGACCGAATTGACCATTTGTTTAAAAAACAAGCTATTGATTTATTTGTATTGCCCTTTAAATCATCATGCAAGGTCGTGTTTGGTAAATCAATTTGTGAAAATCTATCTCCAATAATATATTTAGCTTGAAAATATCATTAGACCTGATGGTCAAGTGTCTAACAAAATCTCAGCACAGTTCCAGAAAACTCGGTTGATGTTTTCCAACTTACATCACTAGTGGTGCGGCGAAATGCCAGTATACCGAACAAAGGATGAATCAACTGTTCGGTTAAAAATTCATTCGAATCATTGCTCATGCGCATTGGATCCACCAATCGGGCAATAATGATGTTAGATGCAAGGGACTCAACAAAGACGACACCTAGTGCATCGACGTCGAATGCTACTGTAGAATTAAAGCTAGTCGATAACCAAACCAATATGTAACACCAGTCTGTAAACCAACTAATAATTGGACTGAGCTATGTAAATTTGCGTAAACTATCGTGGTGGGGTCCGCATGATTATCATGATCAATAGTTTGTGCGATATGACTCAATATTGTAAGCAATCAATCAGGTAGTTACTTTTTGTCTTCGCTTAGATCAGAAATTAGGAACCTTCTAATATTTTCTTCGATACCTAATCATTCCTACTAACACTGATATTTGTCTCCATAAGTTCATTTCGCAGTGCTAATATGATTTGCCAACCTAGGCAGATCAACAAATGTTCCAGATTGTGTTCCATACAATCTGTTCATCATAAGAAGATATGAAACATAATCATTACAGCGTCTCACTTTCAAACACAATTCACGACTGACTTCAAACTTATTCCTTAACAAATTACTTTGACTTGATGGACCAGATGATATCACGAGTAGATACATGAACAATCGAAAGTGAAATGCTTACAGGCAGAAGGTTAAGAAGATAAAAAAGTGAATGATTAATGTGGAAATGAAGGAACAGTGAAGTCTAAGACGATTGATTAAGATATTACAAATGAACTATTTACTATATGGTTCTCAGATTTTATTTAGAGATCCTGTAATTGTGTATTCAAATGAATTTGATTATCCACGCCTGTAATCTCGTTCACTATGATTGTTTTTATACGAATGAATAATATCAAAACGAAATCTCTTACTGTTACTGTGTTGTGTGCTACTGAAGTCAACAGATATAATTAGTATGTAACATCAATCGTATGTGAAATGTCTGGTCACAGAAGGTTAAAAAGATTGAAAAGAAGAGAATGATTAGCATGGAAATGAACAAACAATGAAGTGTGAGACGACTGATTGACAGTTTGTAAATGAAGTATTTACTGTATGATTCTCAGATGCAATTTTGTATTCAAATACAATCGCTTGTTCCCACTTTGTTTTCTCGTTCACATAATCACCTAAATGGATGGTACGTTAAAATGTGGATTTAGAATTTTTCGATGGAATACAATTTTAGCAAATAAAATTAATTATAAATACGATTGTACAGCTGAATGTTTCTTCGCTGAGTCGCTTACTTTCTCAGTGAATGCAATTTCACTCCTACATCCATCGAGTTATTATTGTAGTGTGTGTGCTATTGATGTCAACAGATATAAGTAGTATGTATCATCGATCGTAAGTGAAATGTTTGTTTGCAGAAGGTTATGAAGATCAAAGAAAAGAGAATGATTGATGTAAAAACGAAGGAGCAACAAAGTTTGGGACAATTAATGAATATTTTACAAATGAAGTATTTACTGTACAGTTCTCAAATTTCGCCAAGTTGTTCGGTAAAATTTTGTATACAAAATACCTTCAATTGTTTGAGATCAAGAACCGATTGATGTTAGACCACCGTAGGAAACATGGAAGCACTGTACGGCCTTCTCGTCATATTTCGGGACTCCTCAGCAGTACGCCTCCACGATCCCACTCATGGATTCGAACCCATGGCCTTCAGTCTCACACGCGAACGCTTAACCAACGGTGGTGTAACATCAACCGGTTCATCATCTCAATCAAAAACTTAATAATCTCTACAACCCCTTTACTGAACATTCAATTGTCCCCATTTGTGTTCTTATTCATTACACAATCTTTGAAATGATCAAACATTGAGAAGACAACACCTTATTGATATATATGTTCACAATGTTTACTACAAAAGAAATTGGATCATCTTAGCAATAATTAAATCGAATAATTACAACATCACTATACATACATACATACACGTACATGTATCAATTTAGTTAATCTCTGCTTCATTTTTAATAAATCGAAAGGAAATAAATAAATAAATAAATGGACAGAACAGAACAAAGAAAGAGAAAAAAAGCAGGGAGGGGGGAAAACAAAACAAAAAAAAGAGAAAAGAAAAAACAGTCACAGTAACTATGTCTATATATATTATAGTGATTATTATTTTATAATCATCATATTATCAAAAACCTTTACTCAAATCACAAATAACACATGCACATACAATGAAGGCAATAGAAGGTTGTTTTTCTTTTTCTTTTTTTAGAAAGAGAAACAATAATAAAAACTATATATATATATGATTACTATGATTAAAAGGTTAATTTGGCGGGGGGGGGGGTAAACAAACCAACATTGTAAGCATAGCAATTATTTCTATTAACCGGTAATGAACTACAATTATATATGGTAAATTTTATGTAAATTAAATTTTAAAGGTAGGAGATGAGTACATGGGTAACATACACAAACACACATACATACATACACACACGCACAAGCATTTACATTATACAAAGTTTCGAAATGAAAAGAAAAACCAAACAAAACCAATATTGTTTATCCTTTTCCCAACCCTCTTCTCTCTCTTTGTATATATTTGCCATACATTCTCATTATAATCAATGAACGATAAATACACAGTTGATTTTGAGCTCAAATGTTTGTAATATATAAACTAGTATGAATATATACATCTTAACTATCACTATCTATTCGTTGAAATTCAATTCAATAAGGAGATCTATTCAACAGATCGATAAATTGTGCCTTAATCAATACAACATTCATTGTTCTTATAATATTGAACAAGTCTTTCTAATGTGAAATGAAAACATCTCTTCCTTCATCATAACAATTCAATTAATCTGTACAGAAAAAAAAAGAGAATACAGAGAGATTTGCAGAATTTTAAAGAAGAATAACTGACAGAAGAATAGAATGATACACGGAGAACGCCAGAATAAGAAGGACAGGAACAATTACTTCATATATATATATATATATATATATATATATATATATATATATATAATTGTGAATGGTGTATCTATCTACACATATATATACAAGTACTGATACATATACACTAGTAGAATATACTCAACTACACACTTACACATACAGACCACTTTTTTCTTCATATTGTGAAATACATTAGAATTACAAATTTTGTAATTTAAAATTTATTTACCAATACATTGTCCCCCGCCCCCCCCCAAAAAAAATTATACAACATGAAATTACTGAATATATGTTATATAAAAGACACTGAGGGATAGGAGGGGGTGGAAACGACGGGATAGGGATTCACAAAAATATATAAAATAAAAGCCTAAAATCATCAAATATTATAAATAAATAAATAAATTTTATTTCTTTTCTTCTTCTTCTTCTCTCTGTCTCTCTTATTGTCCAATGAAAGAAAAATTTCCCATGATATCATCATCAGTAGTATGTTGTATGGTATGGGTATTGTGATTAGATTCCTGTTTTTGCAGAATATAATAATACATATCACTAAATAAATGTGTGTTGTTTTATATACTCTGACTCCCCTCCCCTCTATTTATTCATGTCTTTGTATTGTGACATTTTTTCTCCACTTTAGAATAATGCGCACACACACACACACGCACATTGTCAACATCTTATTTCAGATAGTAACTATTCATGATAAAGAGGAAAAAAGAACCACGAACAAATAAATAAATACAAGGCATATAGAATAATACTGACTATTATTTGATGTTTCACAATCTTTTTCATCTCTTGAGCACATATAGAAAAATATTTATTTATATATTACAAATAAGAGATAAGGAGGAGAGTGGCAAACAAATATATATATATATATATATATATATATATATATATACGGTATATCATGATGAGAAGAAACAATAAAAAAGAGAAATGAAAACACAGGGAGGAGGAGGAGGAGGAGAACAGAAACAATGAAAGCCAATCAATCAACCACAGAATGAATGATATACATTAATAATATACGAGCAAATTAAGTCATTATACAGACGAAGAAGTTTCTACTTCCTATGTGTGTGTGTGTGTAGGGGGGTATGGGAGAGACAGAGTGGGGAGATGGACGCAATAGGTAGACGGGTACCAGTAGTATGTAATCGAGGATATAATAATAAGTAAATAAATAAATAAATAAATGTTTACATAATATCTTTTGGCGCTGTAATATAAAAATGACCAAATAAATAATTATTATGTATAGAATAAAATGAGAAAAGGTATTGCATAAAAGCAGAATTGACAAAATAACACTGGTGTACTATTAGTTACCGTGATTTATAACCATGTTGAACAATAATACATAGATAGATAGATAGATAGATGAAATGTGATGAACACATATACATACAATGAAAAACAACCGGTAAAAATCTATCATAAAATAAGCATTCACAGTATTTATAGAATGTGAATTATATGTATACCTTCAATGAATGAATGAATGAATGTATCAATCAATTGTAGCAACCGGGTAATTTAACGCTTACATGGATATAAGTAGGAGTAGTAAGGGGCAATAAGTAGTACATGTGTATATATTTTTTTTAAAAATACCAGATATAATTGTGTACAATAAAGAATGAATAGAAATTTTTTAATGAGAAAGGCTTCGAAATACATATACAAACATGTAGAAGAAAGTAAATAAACAGAGTGAGAGGTTAAGAGAGTACACATAAGATAGCACAATCCTTACAATTCCTCTTCAGCACCATCGCCGACGTAATGATGTTGTTTCAGTTCACAAACATACATACATACATATATGCATTAAAACATGCTATACATAGTCCAAGTGGGAATAAATGGGAGATAATGGAAATATACATTTTACACCTGATATTTTTTTTCTGTACACACAATCGTAAACAAATAAGACACTGTAAACTATAGGAATCCAATGACGTTTCTAGAACCACAATGACAAAATTGTAATAATAGCGGTATCAGTTAAGTCGATGTCGATTTATTTGAGAGTTTGAAAAAAAAGAGCAACTGCAAAAAAAAAAACTGCACCAACTCTCTGTCCCTCCCCCGCCAACTTTTCTGCAAAGGTTTACGGTAGTCGGGTGATGAGCACATTCACCGATAGAACAAAAGCATATATTGTTCAATTGTAAAAATAGGCATATTCAATTATATGTCAGAGTATTGAAAGAAAAGAAAAATGATGAAACAAGAAAGTAAACAAATAAGAACAACGATATTTCAAAAGAAACTATGAAATAAACACCAAAGTAAAAGAAAACAGGAAGCCGCACAGACATTGATAAAAACACACAGACACACACAGTGTAAAATGCAATCATGATCGGTTCATATAACAAACAATAAATAGTAAATAGGCAAAATAAAGTCATCAAATCGTTAGAATTGAATGCATAAAATAACTAGATAAATGTTGATCTTAAGAATATGGTTTCCTCTGAAAATATAAGAACAATTATAAAAAAACACTGTTGTATACTCAAACAAATGACAAAGAGAGGAAGAAAATTCCCTGTGAAAAAGCAAATAAGCAACATATATGTTATATTATAAACATATACACATATTTGTGTACATCATCACACGAAGAAAGGAAGGGGGCACTCGAAGCACACACTCTCACACACACATATAAACAAATAAACAAACACTTCTAGTTGTGTAACGAGAAAGCAGATGCTGTCGACGACATCGGTACAGTATTATTATTGGTCGTATGACTATGAAACGATGATATGGTAGAGGAAGAAGAAGATGATGATGACGAACAAGAAGAAGAGGAAATAAATTGAGATGAAGACGGTGACGAGGAACAATGATGATGATGATGATCCAATATTGCGCATTGATTTATACAATTACGATTATTTGTCAATAATAATTCATGATTTGTACAAGTTGGTAGAATTTGTAAACTAGTCGATGAGTCTAAATCATCAACAGATAATGGAGTGAAACTAAAACTATGCAAATGATTAGTTGGTAACGTGGAATAACTACTGCTATTATTATCAGTAATGGTAGTAGTTAATCCATTTGTTTGATGACAATAGCTCAATGGTGTTATATTATTGTTTTGTTCGCAGCTGACAATACCTCCTACAGAGACACCACTTACTACTCCACTGACTCCGCCACAACTGTTAGGTGTATGAAGAAAGTTAAATGTTGATGAAGTAGAACTACCAACAGGAGTTATTGGAAATGGTGAACCACATACAGAACCATTAACTAGGCTTCGATAAAAACGTTGAGCAACTTGACTTGACGGACCTTAAAGAAAAAAAAGCATTAAAAAACAGAACTACATAAATGTGAAGCATAGATAGTAGAAAAAAAGTGGACATGTGCCCATCATCAATCTGGTAGTATGATTCTGTAATCCAGGAGAAGAGACAACTGCTTGAGATTGGTTGCACATAGCCTTTTCGAGGTAGTTCTTAATTTATTGACTCGATATACATACCTATGAGGCCTTCCTACCAGCAACAAAGTGAACAATGTGAGATATATTATTTTTACAACCTACATTTTCTAGACCTCCGTCCCTTACGTTATGTGATGGCAGCATCAGGTGAGGGACAATCATACGCTTAATATACTCAACAATACGACGTCACCCCTTAAACCTTGAATTTGAATCTTTTAGTCTAATTGTCATTCAACCTGGATTCCTCGAACAAGTATCCCAGATAATATAGCCTGATTACATCATCATAACATACTACCTCAACTATACAACATAAAAGTAATAGCTAATAATTACACAGAGTTAGATAGTGGCGATCAATGCAATCCGGGACGCACCTTTTACCCTGCATCGACAACGGTGAGATTGAAACACTTACAACTGAATTATAGTACATCGTTGTTGCAAAGGCCAGTGACTTGTCTAACTAAACTCAAGAAGTCAATAAACAACACAGTGGTCATTTGAATTGAAAGATACTAAGTTCAAGTTCCAATTTGAATATCAACACTATTAAGTTGCAGTAACATCTAGATATTTTAGTCTTAAAAATAAAACAAAACACAATTCGCTGATTCCATTGCTAATCACTATTGAATTCAGGTAGGTTATAAGTGCAGATGGTAAATATCCAATTGATCCATTCAGAATGTAGACATAACAATAATGGGAAAATTGAAATCCGTCCAACTAGACAATCAATTAATCGTTGATATTATTGATCATTCATTTTTCTTTTACTCTACTACTACTTCATTAATGAATAATATTTTATCATGAAAAGAGATAGAAATCTTAGTGATTAGTTTATAATAACAATTGTCATGCAATATATATCTCTCTCCATATCTATAATCTTAAGGCATGACTCAGAATTACATTCCATATAACTTATACAATTTACATTGCATATTTAGTTTATTCATCTTACATATCGTTTTATGAGTTTCTATGTGTTATATATGGATGTATTTTTGTCTGTTGTTTCCATTCCATCTACCTACCTACCTACCTTCAGAACACGTACTGCTTTTTTGCTTTCTTTCTTTCTTTCTACATTACATTCATATATCAATCATATAGCAGTAAATAAATGGATTCTTATAAAATTTTCTACTCACATGTTTATACATGTAATGTTATAATATGTGTATATATATTTATGATAAATTCAATAATATTATATCACCACCCCTACTAGAGGTGAACCCTCTCCCTCTCCTCTCCTCTCTCTCTCTCTCTGTCATGAAATATTTATCGATTAATGGTGTGATTACTAATGGAAAAAAAAGATGTAGACTAACTCATTGTTGTCATAGGAACTTATTATTTGAATGTTATTTTTTTTAAGAAAAAAAAACTTAGGTGCCTTTGTGTTCCTGTGTCTATGTGAACTCTCCCTCCAATCACAACCACACACACACATACACATACACACAAATATATATGTGTGTACCAATCAATCATACTAATCTAGTTGTTTCTTTTTTTTTCTCTCATCTGTTAAATTTTTTTTTCTGTTGTTGAAAACTTCGCATGATACTTTGATGCTGTTAATAATTAAAGTAATTTACCAATTACGAATGAATTAATGTGATTTTTTTTTAAAATTTTTTTTCAGAGAAAAACAAAACCCAATAACAATAGTCTTCAATCAATGAAGACACCAAGAGAAGAGATCAGAATGCAGAGAGAGAGAGAGAGAAGAAGAAGAAGAAGAAGAAGAAGAAGAAGATTATGATATTCAGCAAAGATTAAATTGGAATGAAAACAAATTTGTATATAGTAAAATAAAACATGACCTTGGGAGATAAACGAAAGTTAGAAAGCTGATGATGATAACCAATCAGAAAACAGTAATTGTTATACAGAAACATAAATGAGATGAAATCATCACGGGATTGTCATTACAGAGAAGCCGTGACCAGGGGAGCTAATCCGTGTCAGGTAGAGACAGGTATCGATCTCAGTACAATGGAAGATGGTCGCGTAATTACGTGGATTGGTTGAAATTAGACATTAACACCAATGAATGCCGGTTCAGTGGTCAAGAAGTTAAGCGTTTGCGTGCGAGACCGAAGGTCCTGGGTTAGAAATAATTTTAAAACTGAAGATTGAAGGAGAAAGACTAAGTGTCGTGAACACTTCTTTATCAACATCTCCAACCATTTGTTACAATACACACGAGGATTGTTCAACCCTTCCCAACTACATAAACTATACTTTCACGTGACAACCAGAACAGAGCAAGGGGGCACCAGATAATACATATGAGTCATACAAATCCCGTTTGATTTGTGAGAGGGCCGTGATAGTGCCCGGGTGCCCAGACTTAAGCAGATGGATTTCTTAGGGGGCCACACCTGAAACCTTCGACCTAAAGGTCTAATCCACAAGGCAGTGGAGCAACTTCAGTGGACGCAGTCCCATGGTAGCCGGTGACCAACGATTGGTTCATGCGCCATTTGTTCCTTCAGGATACGGGAGTCCATATGTACCATTAGTTCGGAATCAGGGTTTTCCAACTCCTTTAGGTGAACTCTCCGTATCCACCAACTTGGTTAAAGCGCCGGACATTCGCTTTTCGTCCTATCAATTTCGTAAACGACACCCCAGTCACGAGAAGGTAGTGAGTAGGACTTCCCTGGCAGATGCTATATACGCATGGCCATGTGAGAGAATTTCGAGAGGGAGAGTGGACTCTCCCCATCCAGACTTTCACGTGACAACCTAGACAATATAGTTTAACAGGAGAGCCAGACACTACACAGACTTAAAATTTGTAGCCCGAATAGTATGGCTCAATCCTGATTCACAGGAGAACCAGACATCATATATGCTTTAACGCTACAATCTGAATAGTACAACTCAATCCTGTGGTGCAACCACACCCTGGTGGACCATTCGCACCATTTATATACACATTCACATCACATGTTCTAGTTTATTTGTTACAAAAACAATAACTTAATGTTAATATTTATGATATACAATGAAAAAAATAATTATATAATATTCACTTACGACTAGCACGACTACCTGTACGTGATTGTTGCATTCCATATTGTTGAGCCATGTTAGCAAGCATATCAATCAACTCTTGACTAATCTAAAAATTGACAAAAAAAGTTGTTGTTTTCAAAAAAATTATATTCAATTACATCGGAATTTTCTTTTACTGGTTTAATACCTTTCATTAAGAAATCAAATGAAAAGAAATTCTTGAACATGAAAAATATTATTAAGTGATTATTTCGTTGTAAGATATTTGGACATTAGACAATGAACAATCAAACGAACTTCAATGAGATGATGCAAAGATCAAAGCTGAATAATTATGGCAAATCTGGAAGCGTTATACATCCATTTCATTCTTATTACAAATTCCTTCAACCTAGAACAAAACCTATGACATTCAATGTTTGATGCGAATGCCTAAGCCCAAGTTCAATCCATCCGCAATATTATGAGACCATCTACCATTGTATTCCGTGAGTACATTCCGCATATATAATAGGATTGAACTTCAATAGTTTAGATATTAAAGATTCGTTAGCGAAACCAAAGGTCCATGGTCTGATTCTCAATGAAGTGGCTGTGGATGTGCATTGTTGAAGAGTCCTATACTATGACAAAATGAATATCCTTTATCAATGAACTATTTTAATTAACCCAATATGTTCAAGTGAATGATATTTTACAGTAACACTTATACAAGTACTATCTTTCGAAATCATTGATTTGCTTTCATAAAGTACAAAAAACAGTACTAGGTTAAACCATAAAATTACTATGATCTGTTGATATAAAACAGATGACAGAATTTGAAGTAACCCAAATACAATCAACACATATGTTCGTCAATCAATATAACTAAGAATGATTCTTTGAAAACCAACCACTTGAGTTCATATAACACTTAAGGCTTTCATTTATACTTTGTTTTTTTTAGCAGAGAGACTAATGCCCGCGAGCAAGAGAACACAGAGACGAATTCAGTGTCAAATCGAATCAAGGCGTAGCTAGACAAGGCAAAGGCAATTATTAACAATCCAGTACATATATTTATATGGGAAAGAGAATGATTCATCAAGAGATATTGAAGCAATTTAACATTTAAGGTAGGTTGAAGGATATGTGCGTAGGCTGTTATATGTGATTAAGAATACACGTTTATACAAACACGATAGTGATCATAAAATAATACAAATAAATAGAAACATTGTTACTATCCGAATAACGCTATCAGTTAAATAAGTTAATTGAACGATTTGACCATAAACAAAATTAATTGTAAGAGAGTTGCTATGAATTAAGATACATGTCTGTGAATTTGTGGATCATCAGTTTTTTGTAACATTCAACTTGAATCCAGTATTAAGTATTTTCTGGCAATTCCCTGTTTTCAGAATCTTCTGGAGATTTTAGAAATTTCACAGATTGAAATCATGAGTCAATTGAAGCTAGACCACCATGGAAAACCTGAAAGCACTGGACGGCCGTCTCGTCCTAGTATGGGACTCCTCAGAAGTGCGCAACCACGATCCCGCACCCCGCGAGATTCGAACCCAGTGCCTAACAGTCTCGCGCCAAGCGCTTAGCCAATTAGACCACTGAGCCGGCATTGTGGATGCGCACTGCTGAGAAGTCCTATACTAAGACGAAACGGCCGTCCAGTGCTTCCAGGTTTTCCATGGTAGTGCAGCTTCAATTGACTCATGATATCAATCTGTGAAATTACCTGTTTATTTATTATCAAAGTGCCGCGTAGAAATATAATACCATGATTTTCACCGAACATTTCAAGTTCTAACTTTCATTTAAGTTGTGTATTTTTTTTCTTTTCATTCAAAAAGTTGGAATCTGTTACAGTGGTGTAGGGTGTTCATCGAAGACATACCTAGATGATTCTAGATAATTAGAATCAAATGTTTAGTGAAAATTACACACTATACGCAACATTCACTAAATGAATGAACGGGAAAAATGCTTGGGAATGCTAGATATTCCATTTTTATTGCACATTGAAAATAGGATAGTTCATCTTACAATTAAATTTCACAGTTCATATTACAGCCTCACTTTTGTTAAACAACTTGCTTCCAAATGCCCTGAACGAACGAGAGTGGAGACAATCAACTCTTCCTCTCCAAGTGTTCTCACATGACCACGTGTATTCAACGACTGCCAGGGGAGTCCACTCACTGCCTTCTCGTGGCATTACTGTTATTTACGAAGTTGAGAGGACGAAAGCGAATGTCCGGCGCTTCAACAGGGTGGGTGGAAACGGACTCTCCACCTAGTGGAGTTGGAAAAGCCTAATTCCAAACCAATGGTGCACATGGACATAAGGATAATAAGGGAACAAATGGCTTATAAACCTATAATTGGTGACCGGCTAACACGAGACTGCATCTCCTGACGTTGCTCCACTGCCTTGTGGATTAGGCCTTTAGGTCGAAGGCTCCGGGTGTGGACCCCAAAGAAAACCACCTGTTTCGGTTTGGACACCCGGACAGTATCACAGCCCTCACACAAATCGAATGATTTGTGTGGTGCATATCTGTTAGGTGCCTTCTTGTATCTATGTTTATATGTCTAAATAAATATGAATTCTGCAATAATGTGAATCTATAAATTTACCGGAAGTCCCATATTAAAGCAAAATAGCTGTCCAATACTTCTTGATGATTTTCAATAATAGTGTAACCAAAACCAGTCTATGATGAAAATTATGTAAGTCATGTATCATCATCAACAACAACACAAACCATTCCTAATACAATAAATAAATGTAACTTACTCCTGAAGCCGGTGAATTACGAAGTAGAGTAGCCAATTCATGCATTGACGATTCTTGTGGAGATGAATCTTTCCTGTTCAAACTGTATTCACTAATGTTGTTATTAATGTTATTATTATCATCATCATCATCATTCATAGTACAACTAACATTAGGTGATAATTTAGGAATAATGTCTAATGTTGCATGATCATCAGTAAATGAATTGATTTCATTCCGTAATGAAACTGTTGATGTTGTTGTTCTTACCATTGGTCCTGATAAAGGTGTCAAAAGTTTTCTTGACGATGATGATAATGATGATGATGATGACATTAATTTAGGCGGTGGTGGAGTCAATGGTTGTTCATCACCAATCCCCATTCTTAATGATTTCTTAGTCATCGATTTATTTGAATAATTCCATTCACTATTACCATTTAGTGAATTATTTTTATTAGATTGACCAATATGATTTTGATGTATATTCGTTATAAAATTACCATTAATATGATTATTTTGATGATTATGATTATGATGATGTGAAAATAAATCCACTGAATCTTCATTTAATGCATTAACATCTATATGTGGAAGACTACAAGCTGATACACTTCGTCGTGAATTATTAACTGGAGTTGAACTGAATTGTAAGCAAACAAACAAACAAACAAATAGTAATAATAATAATAATAATAATAATAATAATAATAATAATAATAATAATAATAATAATAATAATAATAATATAAGCAAAGATGGATAGTGGCTAGCAGTGGAATCCAGGACGCGCGTTTCGTCCTGTTTGTGGACTCGTCAGCTGGATGTACCTGCATCTCAGAGTTGATGTTCACTCTGGGACTCGAACTCAGTACCGTTCGCTTCAAACGCCATCGCGTTATCCACTTAGCTACTGAGTCCTGATAGCCACTTGCTTGTGCAATGGGGTGAAGTTTAATTCACTTGATATTGTTTTACTTGAATCCATCTTTGCTTATAATGCTTGTAAATTAAGGCAATATCGAGGCATACGCACAGTATGCACATATGCCAATAAGAGACTGATCGATTTCAGTCCTAAAACATCAATGGGAAGATTCAAGTAAAACAATATCAAGTGAATAATACTAATAGTTGCTAAGTATTGTTACCAAGGTTTAACTTGATAATTTTAAATAAACTAAGTATTGAATAGAAAGTTATCAATAAAAATCATTCATTTGTAAATAGTTCAATGAGTAGAAAAAAAATTAGATGTTCTGATGTTTCGTCACTCAATGTAAGTCAATTCTTTAAAGAATAAATAACTAAATTGAAGAATATAATGTATTATATTTATATTGATTATTTATTGTTTGAAGAAGTGACTTATACTGAGTGACGAAACGTTAGAAAATCTAATTTTTCTTCTACTTATTGTGATATTTACAAATGTATGATTTTTATTTATAATAATAGTTACTGTTTTGATTAAAGGATATGGAAATTCACGAACCATTAATATGAATTTAAGTAAAATTAGGATTATAAGTTGAATATGTGAACAACTGATCTTAGTTGAGAAATTAATGACTACAGGTATGCTAAACATAAATGACAGTCCTCGCCGATAACTCAACCGAGAACAGGACCCAATAACTTCAGATTTTACGGCAAATGTTTAACTACTGAAGTCGTTTTTATCTATTTATTTTATTTAAACACATAAACATTGGTACAAGTAGAAACCAAATAAGTATGTGAAATCCAGCATACTGCGTGGATGCTCAAATCGAAGCAGGTGGTTTTCTTATGGAGCCACGCCTGGAGCCGTCAACCTAAAGATCTAATCCACAAGACAGTGGAGAAACGTAAATATATGTAGCTCATTGGTAGCCGGTGACCTACAATTGGTTCATATACCACATGTTTTCTTAGGATCCTGGAGACGATGCATATCACTGGTTTGGAGTCATTATTTGTTAGGATATTCGGAAAAATATACTAATAATTATCATGTTAAGCCTAATAGTGTCCATGGACTCTAAATGGACATTCCCTATTGGTCAGTATTCATTTCACTTGTTAAATATTGTGCAAATGTTGTTTTCTATTTTATGGTACGATGTGGTCTGATTGATCGATATATAAACATAGTATGTTTGAAATATAACGATTCATATCTCAGAGGCTGAGACTTGTGTTCTGGACTCAACTGGCTGAGCTAGACAGCGAAGCAGGGCCAATCGGGACTCTAGGTCGTTCGTGCGTGTTTTATGTGTCATTAATCCGGTTGATAAATACGCTGCCCATCTAATCTGCAGTCACACGCTACAACAGTATTTTCCAACTCCCCTAGATAGATCCCCCATATCCACTGAAGTCAGTAAAACAGTATCCGAATGGTGTTCAAACCTCGTGAGGCGGGATTGTGAATGCACACTGCTGAAGAGTCTTACACAACAGGATGAAACAGCTATTTAATACTTCCACCAGATTTTCCATGATGGTCTATCTTCAATTGACTCATGAACTCAACTATTGAAATTTAGATATCAACTCATAATATACAATAATGAATTTAAAGGTCATGAAGAGGGAAGCATAAATACGTATGTAGATAAAAACAACCAAGCATACCTGAACTTTATATCATAGATACAACTAATTAAATTAACTAAATAGCTTGTAAAAAAAAATTTTTTTTCAATTATATGTATAAATCTGTACATAAATAGAAAGAAGAAAAAAATAATTAATTTCCTGTGTGGGTTGATGTAAGGAAATAGTTTGACCATTCGATGCAGAAAAAAAAGGGAGAGAAAGAGGGAGGGGGGAAATACCGAATCAATAGATTCATAATGATATCAGTAAAGTGTTCAATTACTTGGAGTGGAGGAACGGGGGGGGGAAGAGAAAAAAGACACAAATAACAATAGGGATAATTCAAAAATAGTTAGGATCTATGATAATTCACTTCAATTAAGAATTACACTAACAATCTACCATTCCTAATGGAAGAGTAATAAGGGATACACATGAGTAAATATAATAATAATAATACATTCTATCCTATTCCATTTACACAGAAAATGCATAAAAAGTATTAGAGGAAGAAAAAAGATCAAAGCATTTAGATAAATTCAAATGTGTATAATACTTTAGTGTAACAGTAGTAATAAAAGATAATGGTAGCTATTAGTGGTTAAACTATAACCTTGATATAATTAAAATTTATAATTATCTCGATATTTGATAAATTAGGAAGGTTTGTTTTATTTAATTCGATTGTCATAATTGACTATATATATATATATATATACTTATACTCACTGACTCGTTAATCAAAGATTGTTTACAAAATTCAGAGGGTAAAAACTGAACATTCGACGATTAAATTGAGTTGCTACGTAAAAAGAATTCATCTAGATAAGTTGATAAAACCTAATACCTTAGAAATATTGCTCGCATCTGTTAGAACCACCGGGTAAGTAATGGTGAGATTAGACAGCAGGGTATTAGGGAATGATGGTAAGTCAGTTGATGAGGTTGTGAATCTTCATCGACTGAGATGGTTGGGCCACGTGTTACGTATGCCTGAACACTGGTTACCACGATGCGTAATGTTGATTAGTGTAGGAGATGGTCGGAAGAAAGTTAGGGGCGGCCAAACCAAAAACGTGGCATCAGTGCTTGAAGTCGCTGACTTCTAGTCTGAGCCATGTTAGTAGATGCAGACTAATTGGTTGAGGTGACATGGCTCAGAATCTACCACAATAGTGTAGGTGTGTACACTTTCCGTCTTTCCTTAAACTATGAGATTAAAATTGCTTCATATCCCTCTTTCTACCAACTAATTCTTTCTTCATGTACTACATCCGAATATGCGATCTTTCTTTTATATATTACCAATATTGAATTAATCGCTTCAAACAGACACTCAACTCTGATAAATCTATGAGATACTATTTAACATTATGAATTACATTATTGATCTCTTCTCTGTGTTTTACTGTGTGCATTGCTTCTACTTGTGTTAACGAGACTATAACCTTACCTATAATCTGGATCTTAGTTTTCAGTAGTGAGTATCATGGTCCAGTGTGCACAGTTGTATTGTCCAGTTTAACCTAGTACTGTCGTACATTTGTATTGAGCCTAGATCTGTTTGTTGTTTTTGCCTTCATAACAGCAACAAACTATTTGGTTTCATGAAATTAAATCCAGAATGTTTATGGACAAATCGAAACTTGGCAGTAGTTCATGAAGTCATTAAATGTTGGTCTATGTCATGTTAGTAATTGAAAACTGCCTCGTTAGAGGGTCTGCATCATCAGTGATATAGTTCAGAATTGTTCACAATGTTACAGATGTATCGGCGAGACTATAAGATAACAGGTTCCGAATTTTGGCGCGAAATTCACTCATCCATTTCGTTTAATAGAGTTTTAACATTTAAGTTGATGTGATGAAAACATTAAATCAAAGTCCTAACCTTAACAATCAACTATAAATCATAATTCTAATTTCTTACACTGATTTATAATCCTCATTTGTTCCTAGTTATTAGATAAACACTCTCAAGATCACTTTAGCGTCGCTCAAAGGTCGTCCATAAATTATAGTCTCACCAATATATCCACTTCTTATCTTCGTGTCATTCTTGAGTTCCAGTAATCCTTCATGTATACCTTCTCATCCTATTTTTTCAAACTATATTCCTAAAGGTTTAGTCTTTCTTTTTATCTTTACTGTTACAATATTTCGATCTTTGTTTTTTGTTATTTTCATATCGTTGTACTAACTAGGTACAATAATTTGGGCTCAGACTCCATGTTAATAATAATGTCATAGAATTTGGAGCTCATTAATGAAATAAAAACATTGAAGTATGGTATAACAAAATTCTATATCACATAGATATATTGTAGTATTCTGTTATGTTTCCTATAATTAATAAACAACAATGGTATTGTGTGTTAAAATGACCTTGAAGAAAAACAAACAAGAAAGTAAACAGAATATAATAATGTGCCCACTACCACTAATAATAATAATAATAATAATAATAATACCACTGGATATGGTTTATCAACAGACTACAGATAATTAACCTTTCATTGTGCTAAAAAATACAATTTGCAAGAAAAAAATGTATATACAAATACTGTGATAAACCGTAACAGAAATACTTTGATTATAGTTCATACAATTGGTGCCTAATAGTAATAATAATTATAATAATAATAATAGTGAAACATGGGAAAATGTTTACAGAAAGTCCCAAAGAAACAACTTTTTGAAAGAAAAAAGTACCTATCTTCATTCATATTATATTCAAAAATGAAGAGATTTCGAGTGGGATCGATAAAAGGATTAAAGCAGAACTAGAAAAAAATAGTATCTTTACAGTTCGATGGTGTAGGTGTATACACTCTTTGTCTTCCATTAAACTATGAGATTGAAATCGCTTCAAATCTTTCTTTCTGTACTATATCCTTATATGAAATCTTTCGTTTATATATTATCACCATTGAATTAACTACTTCTATGAATCCAATGTTTATCTTGTTGTGCTAATGCGGTATGGCAACTTGGATCGATGCATATATTTGCCTGGTCCTACATTGTAACTGACTGACTGACTTTAAATCAATCGAAAGTGGATTAATAACCGTTTAAGGATATCTCTAAATGTAATTACGAATCTATATGTACTTTTGAAAACAAGTACATAAGGGGGGCTGACAGAAAGGTATCTATCTCTACAAGGTTTTCTGAAAATATTCCTCGAAAGTTGTGTTTGAAAGAAAATGAACTATTCATAAGTGTGACCACAAGACATTTAATCGATAATGAACACAAAGTGAACATTACCATCAAGACCTTATTATGAAGAAAGTACAATAAACCTCATTCATTACCATGGGAAGATAGTTATATAAACTATCTTAACTATTATGTCATTTCGAACTGAATTTCTTTAATTTAGTCAATTATCTACAATGCAGGAGACCAGGTACATACATGCATCGGTCCAAGTTACCACACCTCATTACCAGAAAAAGATGAACACCAAATTCATAGAATCAGTTGTTTCAACAATAGTGTGTATACCTACACCATTATGATGGATTCTGTACCATGTCACCAAGAGTCTCCAACCATTGGTTACGATAGTCACGTAGACAGGAGTGCGCCAAATATATATGCGCCACACAATTTCAGTTCATTAATTGCATGTGGGCTGCGATACTGCCCGGGTGCCCAAACCGAAGCAGGTGGTTATCTTAGGGGGCCACACCCCGAGCCTTTGACCTAAACGTCTAACCCACAAGGCAGTGGAGCATCGTAATGAGATGCAGTCCCATGGTAGCCGGTGACCGAAAATTGGTCCATACGCCATTTGTTCCCGCAAGATACTGGTGCCCATGTGCACCATAGATTTGGAATCCGGTTAAAACGCTGGACATTCACTTTTCGTCCTCTCATTTTCGTAAATAACACCCCCGCCACGAGAAGGCAGTGAGTAGGACTTATCTGGCGGAGGCTGTATACGCGCGGCCGTGTGAGAGTATTTCGAGAGGGAGGGCGAACCCACCCCACTCTCGGCCATACCAGGGCGTTTGGGGACCCCAACCAAGTAGTTTGGATCTAGCAAAATGGCTCAGACTAAGGTTTATAATAAAACATTTCTTGTAATCATATTACTAATGTGAATTGAAATTGATGAGAAGCTTGAAAATACATTGAATCCATGTTATTCTGTAAATTTTGTTCTTCTCACTTTATTTAAAATTAGAATAGGTCAAAGTATGATATACTGACGACCTTTAGTTGACCAATCAGAGTTAAGATAACACTTGAGCTATTTTGTGCGAAATTTAAGGTACACTGATAGATAAAATGTACTTTATTATTAACCAAATGAAAATCGGTGCTTGAGATGTTTTAAATCAATAAAAACATCTATTATGCTACCAATGAAGTGAATAATAGATCCTAAACATAAACACGAATCCGGTGTTCATCTTGTTGTGTTAATGAGGCATGGCAACTTGAACCGATGCATACATGTGCCTGGTCCTACGTCGTAGCTGACTGACTGACTGACTGAAACATAACATGCCTACTCCTAAGGCAGATAGTCTGTTAAAGTACTTGATGTGGTTTACTGAATAATTAAGTGTTTTGATGAAGCTAGATCATATTCTCCCTTTTCTAACTCTTATTCTACATCTCAAACCTTAAGTTTCACAAATTTTTAAACAGAAGAAGAATGACAAAGCATTGATTTATAGTGGATTTCAGTTCATGATGAAAATCCTGACCTAAATTTGTAAATTCGTGACCAAAACTTTATAGAGTGACAACCTTAACTTACAATAGTAATCTGACTAGTAATAGGTATGTACACACATATGTAAACTTGACCTTTTTTCTTACTACGAAGAATAATTTGACGTAAAAGTGTTAATTATTTAAATCAAAGCTGTCATTATTCCACTATTAGGTGTTTAGTAACTAAACAGTCTTCGAATTGGCTGATGGGCTACCACCCAACGTCGCCGCAGCATATTATACTTTTACCTAATAATAATAATAATAATAATAATAATAATAATAATAATAATAATAATAATAATAATAATAATAATAATAATGATAATAATAATAATAATAATAGTAGTAGTAGTAGTAGTAGTAGTAGTAGTAGTAGTAGTAGTAGTAGTAGTAGTAGTAGTAGTAGTAGTAGTAGTAGTAGTAGTAGTAGTAGTAGTAGTAGTAGTAGTAGTAGTAGTAGTAGTAGTAGTAGTAGTAGTAGTAGTAGTAGTAGTAGTAGTAGTAGTAGTAGTAGTAGTAGTAGTAGTAGTAGTAGTAGTAGTAGTAGTAGTAGTAGTAGTAGTAGTAGTAGTAGTAGTAGTAGTAATAGTAGTAGTAGTAATAATAATAATAATAGTAATAATAATAATAATAATAATGTTGATCAATAAATAACCCCAATCCACCGGTGAAATCCCAATCATTTTCAGTTGGGCAACACTCATATTTCAAAATAAAGCAATATAATTTATGAACCGACACAAAATAACAAAAATATTCATCATTCTAACAGTGTGTTAATACTCTTTCTGTGAATATAATGTATTAAACAAATGAGAAGCATTATGGTGAAGTGAGCGCGAGGACACTGAACCCATTAAAATCAAGGTGGATAGAATAGAACTTGGACCTAAGACTGACAGGTTGTTCATCAAATGGTTTAATCCGTGACACATAATTTAATTAGCTAACTTGATGCGTTCAAAGATATGTAAATATCTTAAGTTCTACAGAATGCTAATTACACCTTGAAAATCTCTCCGTCTCAGACTGTGAATTAAAGTACGTTCAAGTTTAAATAGTAAAACGTAGTATTAGATCTATCACGATTAAAAATATTCCGATAAAATTAACCAATAATCACGACCATCCATACATACTATTATATGTTCACTAATGAACAAACTCTATTCTTGGAAGCCTAGTGAGGAGAGATGTCCAGTAAAATTCAATTGTTTCAAGATTCAGATAAATCTCAACATTTCAAATAAATGATAACGTAAACTATTGTTTGAATCTTCAACGTTCACCACAAAGCCTGAATATCCTGGTTATCAATCTTTGGTGATGGGTGGGTCGTGGATGTGAACCATCATTAAGGTATCTAATACTTCAACGTAACAACTGGTTAATGCTTTCTTATTTTCATTAGTTATCAAACTATAGTCACTTAATGAAATAAATCTACTTTTTTTCTACAATAAAAGTAGACGGAGGGAAACAATCAATCGTTTGTCATTTTTTCTGCTTATGGAACTTACCTCTCCATCATTAATGGTGATTCACTGACATTCGCTAAAGCAGCAACAATTGCAGCTATCACACGTCTTCCATTTGGACTAGCACTACCAATCTCATCAGAATTTAGTAAATCTTGTCGATTATTAATATTACTATTATTATTAGTAGTAGTAATACTACGATTATTGTTGTTATAATTTAACAGAAGCGGATGGATTTGATTGTGGCCAATTTGTGATTTAAATGAATTATGTAAATTCGATGAAGAATATGATGAAAAATTTGATACAGTTGAAGCAGTATTACGTGCAACCATAATATCAACTAATTCTTGATCCATTTCACCTTCATCATCATTATCATCATCTTCGTCGACATTACGATCACTGGTATTATGATGTGTCGAAGAGAAATTGACATTTGTAGCATTGGTTATTAATTGGTATTTTTCTGAAATTTGTTTTTTTGGTGAATTATTGACTGTCATAGTTGTTGTAAATGATGAAAGACAATGTGAACCAGGATCATCATTTATATAATTTAAACTAGTAGGAGTTAGTTCTGTTGAACTGGGACGACCAACTCTACTATGCACTGGGACTATTAATGTACAGAAAACAAGAAATAAACACACAAAGAATGAAATAATGTGTAGACATCAGTAATGAAATTGTAGCACAATTAATAAAGAGGCAAAAAAATGATACGTTCTAAGGATATGAACATAAACCAATAAGATGAAAAACAGTAGTTTCTGACTTTTCATTCTATAGCCAGTCGAGGTGGGACAATGCTTGTTAGTCATAAGCTATCTTAAGAATGAGCATATACGCACATTGATTCAGGTTTTCATACTGAAATGCAATTATCAAGACAACTGACAGAGTAATTGATGTAGTAACAGTATCAGTGGCAGAACAAAACACTAACCACAGACAATAAGATGAGAGCATTACACCGTGGAGTAAACAGTACAAGATAATCTTAAGAATCAAAATCTAGGGAGGTAGACAAAGAAAGAATGAATATATCTGCGTGATTGTGACTTATTCTGATCTAACATCTCATCCAATGCTTTTAACTATTGGTTGGTTACAAGATAAATGCACTGATCACAATCACATGGTCTGCACTTACCAATATAGATCAGTGCAACAGTTAATGACTTCAGGAACTGATGCCACATCTTGGTCCGGTTGCCCCTAACTTTTTTCTAACCTACACCTATATCAGTCAATATTGGATGTTGAGGTAGGCAGTGGTTGACCGTGCATAAAACATGTCCCAAACCAGCCCAATCAGTGAAGATTCCCTATATCATTAAACGACTTACCATATGTTAAAATCTTACTGAAAAAAAAGAGAATAAAACAATTAAACCATTCAAACTCTGCCCTAGGAGTTGAAGGAAGAATTATGACGTCTCGTGATAAAGGAAGTCACGAGACCGATGCCCCTTCTAACAACGAGAGCAAAAACTTATGTAGGCACATGGACCGTCCAGCCAATGTGGGAGACTTTAAGGACCAGTCAAATAGCAACGGAAATGAGATAAAAATTGAGTGCTCGGAATCAGTGAAACCCATTGAACCAAGCTGGACAGCAAAGGATAGATTCCGGAGAGATACTGCTGTACTTAGGGTGAGAATCTCATGGATCCAGGATCACTAAAGCATCATTTGAAACAAAAATGGGAATCACAGTGAATGTTATCCAATGTTATGCACTCACCAATGATAACAACGATGACGATAAAAATCAGTTTTACGAGAGGCTGCAATCGATCATAGAGAAGTGACCACGAAAGCATCCGACAATCCTAATGGGAAACCTAAACACCAAAGTCGGAATGGACAAAAGTGGGTATGAAGATGTCATGGGACAGCATGGAGTGACTGGGAGAAAGGAACAAGTGATGAAAGATTTTCGAATTTATGTGCATTCAACAAAATGGTTATAGACAGCACAATATTCCACCGCAAACGCATACACAAAGCAAAGTGTGTCTCACCGCATCACACCACGGAGAACCAGATAGATTGTATTTGCTTCAGCAAAAAAAATTCGGAAAGTTAATGGAAGGCATGAGAACAAGGACAGGAGCTGATATAGCCTCAGATCATCATCTGGTTGTTACTTACTTACTTAATTACGCCTGTTACTCCCAATGGAGTATGAGCCCTTGACCAGCATTCTCCAACCCACTCTGTCCTGGGCCTTCTTTTCTAGTTCTATCCAATTTTTGCTCATTTAACTCATGTCTGTCTCAATTTCTCGGCGTAATGTTTTGTTTGATCTTCCTCTTTTCCTTTGGCTTTAAGGATTCCATGTGAAGGCTTGTCTTGTGAAGCAGTTGGGTGCTTTACTCAATGTGTGTCCTATCCACTTCCAGCGCTTCTTCCTGATTTCTTCCTCTACTGGAATTTGGTTTGTTCTCTCCCACAGTAGGTTATTGCTGATAGTGTCTGGTTAACGGATCCGAAGTATTTTACGTAGACAACTGTTAATAAACACCTGAATCTTCTGGATGATGGCTTTCGTAGTTCTCCAGGTTTCCGCCCCACACAGTAGAACTGTCTTGACATTTGTATTGAAAATTCTGACTTCGATGTTGGTTGACAGGCAGTTGTTTTGAGTTCCAGATGATCTTCAATTGTAAATATGTTGCTCTTGCTTTGCCGATCCGCGCATTCACATCTGAATCAGATCCACCATGTTCATCAATGATGTTGCCCAGATATGTAAAGGCTTTTACATCTTCCAAATCTTCTCCGTCAATTGTGACTGGATTGGTGCATACTGTGTTGTATCGGAGAATCCTGCTTTTCCCTTTACGTATATTGAGACCTACTGCTGCTACACTGGTCGTTTTCTCCTGCATTTGTTGTTGCGATTGCGATAGGAGGGCTAGATCATCTGTGAAGTCAAGATCGTCCAATTGCATCCTAGATGTCCATTGTATCCCGTGTTTACCTTCAGATGTTGACGTCTTCATGATCCAGCCAATCACCAGAAGAAGAGAAAGAGGAGTGTAAACATCCCTGTCTGACTTCGGCCCCCACTTGGAATGCATCTGTGAGCTGTCCTCCACGCACGACTTTGCATTGTTGTTGTATTGTCGAGTTCGATTCAGTTAATTGTTCGACGATGATCTGTAGTGTTGCAATTTGGTCTGTGCACGATCGATCCTCACGGAATCCAACCTGTTGATCTCGAAAATTGACGTCTACTGCATCTTTCATCCGGTTCAACGACAATTTGTTGTAATCTTTTCCTGGTACCTATAGTAGTGTGATTCCTCTGTAGTTCTCACATTTGTTCGGATCTCCTTTCGTATATTAATGAGGTGTCCTTTTTTCTAGTCTGTCGGCGCTTGTTCTTCCTCCACATCTGAGGGGAAGCACAGAAAACAATGGACAGTTCGAAATCATCTAAACGATTTGAACTCCGTAGATCACCTGATCCTTCTATCCCATACATATGAAAAAATGCAGATGAAGACAACCAGTGTAGCAGAAGTCTCTGCGACAGTAAGCCTTCACAAGCAAAAGGGAGAAAGCAAGATCCTCAAATACAACATAGTGAACATCAACCCAATCGCACTTGATGGAGAAGCTCTGGAATCTTTCACGTGTCTGGGCAGCATCATCGGTGAACAAGGAGGATCTGATGCAGGCGTAAAGGAGAGGATTTGCCAAGTAAAAGTTGCATTCCTAAAGTTGAAGAAAATATGCAACTCAAAACAACTGTTAACCAACATCGAAGTCACAATCTCCAATACAAACTTCAAGACAGTCCAACTGTATGGAGCTGAAACTACGAGTACTACAACTATCATCAGAAAGGTGCAAGTACTTCGAAACAATTTTCTACACAAGATGCTCAATGTCCGTTAGCCGGAAACCATCAGAAACACACTACTGTAGGAGAGAACAAATCAGTTTCCAACTGAGGTGGAAATCCAGAAAAATACGATGAAAGTGGATAGGACACACATTATGGAAATCACCAAACTGAATCGCGAGGTAAGCGCTTGTCTGGAATCCTGAAGGGGGACGGAAAAGAGGAAAGCCAAATAACACGCTACGTCGAAAATTAGAATCAGACATGAAAAGGATGAATAGCAACTGAAAACAACTGGAAAGGATTGCCCAGGACAGGGTTGGATGGAGAATGCTAGTAGGTGACCTATGCTCCTTCACAAAAGTAAGTTTCTCACACTTGACGTCAACATAGAAAAGAGAAATCAGTAACGACAGTAGGAAAAGTGAAGTAGTGTTTAGTAAAAGGATGAAAAATGAGGAAAAATAAATGAATTTTTGACAAGAAGATTGAAATGAATTTTTGGGCCATTTTATAGAAAGTTGATGAATACTGAGACAGTAAGAACGATATTTTCACCTATCTGTCTATACAGCTCAAATCAATATTCCATGACTGGTAACCAAACATTGTCCGACGTTATTTCAGTAAGTAACAACTGGCTAGAAAATAAAATGTACAGATGGATCGTGAAGAAAATGTTCTTGCTCTGATACGCTATTCACGTACGGAATTATCCAATAAATCTTTCACAACTACAAATAACGAACATAAACGCACACACAGAGAGAGAGGTAGAGAAATTGTTAACTAATTATAAATTTATTTTCATTTACATAAAATAAACCAATGACTTACCGAATGGTGATTTATGATGTACCATAAAGGTATTCGTTGTCGATTCTGTCAATGGTGTTACAGGTGTTGTTGATAAATGTGAATGTGAATCATCAAAATTGCATAATCCGGTTGCTGTCGATGTTGTCAACATTGAGGTGTTGCTAGTTAATGAATTTGATAGAGGATATGACAGTAGGTTTTCATCTAATGAGCCATCTATAGTTGGTGTTCTAGCTTCAGGACGTTTTTTCGCCGGTTGCCGAGGTGTTGACTTCCCACTAGATGAGTAATTGGAACTACTCATCCAAGATATTGTTGTATTAATATTATTGTTATTAGTAGTTGTATTTAATGTATTGTTAACAGAAGATGGATATATATGTAAGCCATTCACTGAACCACTATTGACTATTAACCCAAGATACGGTTGTGAACAAAGGAATGTGCCATCTTTATTTAAATTACAATGACGTTGTTGTTGTTGCATGGTAGTGCACGATTGAAGTAGAAATGGTGATGATGAATGATCGTCATCGCCGTCATCATCGTTCTCTTCTTCTTCGCCTTCTTGATGTTGTCGTTGGAATAATGATTGGTCAGAATGGAAATGATGATGATGATGAAGCATTGACTGATCTTGGTCATTCTTAATAGATCGTAATACAAGAGAGTTAGGAGAAGAATGAGGTAATAGACTATTCGAAGTAGAGATAACCATAGAAGTCGTAGCAGTAGTATTACTAGTAATAGTAGCATTAGTAGAAGTATTATTAGTATTAGCACATTGAAGTGATCTAGATAAGGCAGAAGTATTATCGTGCATAGAAAAAGTATAAAATGCACTTGAAGTATTATTATTATTATTATTGGCACATGTCGAACTAACAGGATTATTTGAGATCAATGATGAAATATTCCCATTGGTTAATAATGTTGAATCTGATGGTCGACGAATTTGTGGATGAATTTGTGAAATTCGAGTATTATTATTATTATTAATAGTAGTAGTAGTATTAGTATTATTATTACTACTATTACCATTATTACTAAATGGTATTCCAGATATAAGTAAAGGTGGACTTGATGAAGAATGTAAATGATATGAATTTTTAGCTGGTGATGATGGAAATGAACTAGGTGATACTGGTCTTGGTCGTTTTAAACTATAACGTTCAGATCTTAATAGAATTCCATTATGATCTTTTGAATAGATCATTGAATCATTATTATTAGATTGAATTGAATGATTTCTATTTGTAGAGCATATTAATGTTGAATGATTGAAATCATTTATTGACTGTTGATATATAGGTGATGGTTGTTTAGTATAATTAATTGTATTCAATGAAAAATTATTGATTGTAGTTGTTATGGTTAATGATTCATGTAATGGATCTAATTTATGAGATTTATGATAACCACCATAGGATAGATATGAATTTGGCTAAGATTATACAATGAGAAAAATAAACAGTAATAATAATAATAATAATAATTAATTTCATGTAAAATGTTAATTTAGAAAATGAGATTAAATTTTAATTATTCAATATGATAATATTAAGATCAAAGTATTGATTGAGTACCATTGTGATATGGGTTACTTATATCCGCATAAGTAGTATATAACGATGGTCAGGAAAATAGAATGTATTTTAGTAGAAGATCAATAAGGAAAGAACGGGAATGGAACGCAATTGGTATGAAAATGCATGGAAAAATGAAATCTGAGACAATGGACTGATATTTACAAAAAAGAAACAGTCAAGTTTGAGAAAATGGATTGATATTTTGCAATTTAACTATTTACCATGTGGTTCTCAGATTTTAATGAGATATTTTGTAATTTTGCGCTCAAATACATTCGACTGCCCCCACTCGTCTTCTTGTTCGCGACACCTTCATTAATGGTAGCATGGTTACATGTCACCTGACTTTTAAGCAATAAATTGTAGGTGGCTACTAATTAGGGCTCAGTAGATACTTACTGGGTTCGATTCCCAGAGTGAATATCAACTATGAGTTGCAGGTATATTTAGGTGACGAGTCCCAAATAGGACGTAACGTACATCCTAAATCCCACTGCTAGTCACTATCCATCTTTGCTTATAAAGCTTGTGGCTTAAGGCAATATGCCATATTCAGTCCGAAATAACAGTGGGAAGATACACGTTAACAACATCAAGTGAAGATATGTGTTATGTCGGAAGAAAACAACATGTTGTTTTCTTGTAATGTACTGTATCGAATTCCGTGTGATAAGGTCGTGATGACAGTAAACCAGTTGTATGGTATATTTCCTTTTTTTAGGTAGATTATCGATTACTTCATTTATATTCCTAGTAGGATTGGTGAGCTACTTATTTACCAAATGATAGATTGATCAATCAAAACGTTAATGTTTACCACTCCTCAAGCTCCTTCTAACCAGGTGAACAATCAGAAAACCAAGATAAAAAACATATCACCTCTTCTATTATACTCAATTCAATTATGGCTCGAAACTCAAACAATAATATATATATATATATGAAATTTCTGAACACATAGTAACACAATTAAGGAAAGAAGATGAAGAATTAACCATTAAACACTATAACAAGAATTAGATAACTGTTTCACTTAAATTTGTCACAACCAACAATTATATTTTCATTTCTTATGGACAAGAAATAACATCAGTAGTGGAATGTCTTTTAAGGTCAGCTATTGCTTTATTATGATGAATGGATTGGTGAGGCAGTAAAACTTCACTGATTGATGTGGTGCATTACATATGTCTTATTATCGCCTACATCAATATGCAGTGTTCACTGATGATGTAAGAGTAGGTTTGAAGACAGTTAGAAACTATAAAACCAAAATATAGCGTCAGTCCATGTAATTATTGACGGCTTATGTGTCTGTCTTGTATATTTATTTGATTAAACACATAAACATTGGTAGAAGGAGTCATCAAATAGATATGCGCCAGATAAATCATTCGATTTGCATGAGGCCTGGGATACTGCCAGTAAGCCCAAACCGAAGCAGGTGATTCTCTTAGCGGGCCACACCCAGAGCCTTTGACCTCAAGGTCTAATCCACAAGGCAGTGGAGCAACGTCAGGGAGATGCAATCCCATGGTGGCCGGTGACTAACAATAGTTTCATACGTCATTTGTTCCTTGAGGTTCCTGGAGTTTATGTGCACCATTGGTTTGGAATCAGTATTTCTCAACTCCGCTATGTGGACTCTTCATGTTCACCAACCTGGTTAAAGCGACGAACATTCTCTTTTCGTCCGGTCAATTTCGTACATAACAGTAATGCCACGAGAAAGCAATAAGTAGGACATCTCTGACAGTGTTTGTATGCATGTGGCCATGCGAGAGGATTTCGAGAGAGAGAGAGAGAGGGAGGGTTGACTCTCCCCACCCTCTGTCATATCAGGGCAGTTGGGGGTCCAAACTATCTACCGTGATTAGTAGTTGAAAACATTAAGTAATATAACTAAGAATTGGTCTCAACATCGTAGAATGCGTTGTATTAATTGACAACATGAGAATTTTTAATCTTATTCTATATAATATGAACTATTGTTAATTACATAATGAAAAATGATCATAAGTGATGGAATCACAAACAATAAACTATCATATTGGAAAGTGATATTCAATGATACCTATTTATCAAATTATTGTTTAATAAGAAAATAATAATGAATAATTTACAAGGCAGAAGAAACAAACAAAATATTTTTTTGTTTTGTTTGTTTCTAGGAGAAAAAGAAGAAGAGAGAGAAAGAGAAAAACTAGAAGTAGAAATTCCAGACAAGAACCTTGAACTTATTCTAATATGATACATAGTTGAAATGAATACATAGTCAATAAGTTAATTAATATTAGCTAATAGTAAAATGTAGAAATATGATCAGCTTTTTTTGATTATTATTATTATTATATTCTTACTAACAACAATGTGTTTTAGAATAAATTACACGTATACATATATATATGTGTGTGTTTTAAGGTCTTTGATAAACCAGTAGTGTAAATTCAGTCAGTCGGTCAGTCAGTTAGAATGTAGGACTTGGCACATATATGCATCGATCCAAGTTGCCACACCTCAATTAGCACAGCAAGACGAACACCGGATTCATAGAAGCAGTCAAATCAATGGTGTAATATATAAAGGAAAGATTGCATATAAGGATATAGTACAGGAAGAAAGAATTAGTACGTAGAAAGATTTGAAACGATCTTAATCTCATAGTTTAAGGGAAGACAAAGAGTGTACACACCAACACTATTGTGATCGATTCTGAGCCATGTCACCTCAACCAATTAGTCTACATCTACTAACATGGCTCAGACCAGAAGTCAGCGACTTCAAGCACTGATGCCACGTTCTTGGTTTGGTCGCCTCTAACTTTCTTCCGACCATCCCCTACACTAATCAACATTGCGCGTCGTGGTAACCAGTGTTCAGGCATACGTAACACGTGGCCCAACCATCTCAGTCGATGAAGATTCACAACCTCATTAACTGATTTACCATCATTCCCTAATACCCTGCCGTCTAACCTCGCTATTACTTACTCGATGATACCAGATGAGAGTGTATATTAACTAAAAGGAAGAATGATGTGTAAATCTATTTTGATCATTCATGCAATAAACAAAACAAAAGCACATAATGTATATAAAAATAACTATATTGACCGGAAGAAATGTCTCTTAGTTGAATTCGTACCACTAGTTGTAGAGAAGCATGATTGTAGTAAGGTTTTTCTTTTAGATAGCCGTTATTTAAAGAAATCCTGCCATCCCATAACGTAAGGGAGGAGTTGAAAAAGCATGCCACATCTCACTTCACGGATTTCCGTCTCCGATTGTAAGGACTTTTGATGTACGACACTTACATATTTGACAATACTCACAAAAAGACCACATGTCAGCCAGCTACAACGTAGAACCAGGCATATATATACACATATGCATCGGTCTAAGTTTTCATACCTCATTAGAACAACAAGATGAACAACAAATTCATAGAAGTAGTTACTTCAATGGTGTAATATATAAAAGAAAGACTGTGTATAAGGATATAATACAGGAAGCAAGTTTAATCTCACGGTTTAAGAGAAGACAAAGAGTGTATACACCTACGCCATTGTGATCGATTCTGAGCCATGTCATCCAGAGTCTCCAACCATTGGTTACGATAGTCACGCGGACCACAACCATATGTGATCAACCTTAAAAAGTTGTCTCTCGAACTTTGTGACCACGCTCCTAGGTCGTCAAGATCACCTGTAATCCATTATCCTTTCCAGGTATCATGAGGAAGAATCTTTCCATGGTGCAAGCAGTCTGTAAGCAATAATTGCCCTCATACCTCTAATAGCACTCGAAATTACTTAGTTTGACATCTACTGAGATACAAACTCAGCAGAGAAATCATTAAAATAAACAAAATTATGGATCCTTACAGTATATTGATTAGACTATATTTAGGATTTTCAGTATACCTGATTAGTGTTTAACCCTTTGGAATGTGTACCGTAACAAAATAAGCGACAGAGGTTGTCATGGATATGGTCGCAGGGTTTAGCAACACTAATTACAGTGACCGACCGCTGAATTCTACGTTTATCTATAACTACTTTGCGCTAATAGTCTAGGTGATTTGGCATCGAGTGTAATATTCCGTGATGTTAGATGGTTGGAGGCAATCGACAGACAGCTATGGATTTACTAAAAAGATCTGAAATTATGTAGCCCTTTTCGTTTTGATCAATAAACGATAACTCTGATGCATACGGAATTTAATTGGAGCGTTTTTTCAGCTTATTCCACTAGCCTTGACTGCTACTTAATCGGTTGTTTTAGCTTTTAGGTCGCAGATTCTATCAAGTTCATAACTATCGCGATATAAACAGAGACGTATTATGGAAATTTTGACTTCGAACATCAAGCCTTTGTCTGACTTCTCTATGATTCTTTGAGTAGGAGACTATCATTGAAGTGTTGCGTATCAGCTGTCCAGTCGATCTAGTTTGCACATATCCTGTCTTCATATTGAAAAGATCTTACAACCTTTTACAAACGAATTTATCGTAAACTATCTCAAAAGTTAATAGGAGCCGTACTTCATGCTAGACGGAACTTATTACACCATTAAGGTAAGTGTGGGATTCAAGACCAACCTACATGCTTTTCGCTGAAGAAGCCAGACTAGAACGTAATCTGGTTATCTCTGTTTTCGTGCTAACCGACTCCGACGAGATATGAGGAATATGTGTATCGTATTTCAAAATCCTTCTACTAGTTTACATTACAGGAAATTTAAAAAAATAATGATGAATAACAAATATATCACTGAGTGCTGGTAATCATAAGAAATTAACAGTAAGTACTGAACTACTGAATATATATATAACAGCTTGTAATACATGAAAAACTTACAAATGAATTGGCGCGGTTCAAATTCATCGATCCCGTTGTTATTGTTGTTGTCATTGTCGTTGTAGTTTCAGATTTCTGTAAAGCATCTTTAATAACTGGAACTAGATCGATTAAGTCACGATCAGATGCACTTAAAGTAAGCTTAGATATAGACTCATTGGCAGGATTTAAGTTTTCTGAAGAAAAAGAAAAGAAAGTCAAAAATAGTAGGAAAAAGGAAATATGAAATTCACTGTAAACTATTGTTAGTCATTCAGTTATAGACAACGTAGAACCTGACAAAAATATGCAACGCTTTATTTTTCTAAGATCTAGTGGATAATAATGGATAGATGCATTTACGCCATTGCAGTCGATTTTCATCCATATAACACAATACACCTGCAAACACTGATCGCAGTTATTGCTCAGAAATGAAACAGATAGTCTGTACCTATCAAAATGTATCACATCAGCGATTAACGATTTCATGGAATGAGGCTACATTTCCACTTGGCTGCTCTTAATTTTTCCAACCTACTACTAAGCTAGTAGGCATCGTGTGTCGAGGTAGGGATTGTTAGGCAAACATAATATTTGCTCTGACCACTTTGGTCGATGAAAATTCACTAACTCATCACAGAAAGTGCAACCTTTGCTTAGTAATCTATGCCCAAAATCAATATTTCTCACTTATTCACTCAAAAATACGCAAGTAATGCTTCGAAAAGACTTATGGTCAAAAACCTTTCACGTTTCACAACCACAAATTAGAAAAGGGTGGACTGCTGTACAGTATATAAGCCCTTCGGTTTGTAGACGGATATTTTGTCTATGTCACAAGTGAGACAAATCGGCAAACATAGGCCGTGACTTCTGAATCCGTGACTAGATTTTGTCAAACAACAAATTACTAAGGCTAATCTGATTTCCGTCTTAAGTGAAGTAGTTAACATGTTCAGCAGGGGAGATGGTGCGGATCGACTCTAGCTATACAACTCAGGACAAAAAAACAAGGGGAATACAACGGCTTGACTTTAGTTGATGGATGCTACAATGAAGTGATGATTGAGACTGACTATGATAATCCAGTAGAATTATATTAGCTGGAAAACTAGTTTCATAAGATCCTATTATCTTAGAAAGATGGGTTGCATTGCAGTAAGATTAAAAAATAGCAAGTCATGGGTTTGAGAAAAAGCGTTAAATATTTTAACAAAGATGCTCTTTCATGAGCAAAGTGGTAGTAAAATTTTGATGTCATGAATTTTCCATATTGAGACTAACAGGGAAAATAATCACCGACATAATGAATGTGGGTTATCGGGCCTTCGAAGAAAAATTTTGGCTTTATGATCACTCTGCTAGGCTGATAGGGCCATTAAAACTCAACTTTGTCGGTATTTCCCATTTGGTAAATGTAAATACAATCGATACCTTTAAACGGACGACCTGGTACACACATACAGTGGTCTAAATTGTCATACTAGGTCAGTAGTACAGCGCAATGACATTATTAAGATGACTAACAAAAGAGCCGACATAAGTAGTTGTACCAATGAATGTATAAAAAATTTATTCAGAAAGAAGGAAATTCAAGATTTCAGGTAACGTAAGGAATAAGACGATCAATATATCATTATACAACAACTTTAACCATCAATAAAAGGATAATCGTGCAGACCCCAACTAGGTAAGTTGTATAGGCTACACTAGGATTGACACGGTTATAAATAACAGCCACTGCCAGGGAAGTCCTACTCACTACCTTCTTGCGGCATTACTGTTATTTACGAAATTGAAAGGATGAAAAGCGAATGTCCGGCGCTTTAACTGGGTTGGAGGACACGGAGTCTATCTCGGAGAGTTGGAAAACCCTGATTACAAGCCTGTGATGCACCTCGGCCCCAGTATCCTAAGGGACAAGTGGCGTATGAACCAATTATTGGTCATCGGCTGCCATGGGATTGCATCTCCTGACGTTGCTCTACTGTCTTGTGGATTAGACCTTTAGGTCGAAAGCTTGGGGTGTAGCCCCCTTAGAAAATCACCTGCTTAGGTTTTGCCATCCGGGCAGTATCACAGCCCACATATGTATTTGGTGACTTTTTGTACCAATATTTGTGTTCAAATAAATAATAAAATAAATACCCAACAGTCAATAGATTAACTTAGATTCCCGGTTGAGAGCCCTGAACGAGAACTTCTAAGGAGTCCCACACTAGGGCGAGACAGCCATTCAGTGCATCTAGGTTTTAAATGATGAATTAACTTGGATCAATTTTTAATATCAATAAAATAAATTAATAGTTCACAAGTAATGTCATTTTCAAGATACTTAACATCCATTAGCCAGATACCATCAGCAACAGCCTACTGTGAGAGAGAACAAACCAGCTTCCAGTTGAAGAGGAAATTAGGGAAAGATGATGGAAATGGATACGACATACATTATGCAAATCATCAAACTGCATCACGAAGCAATCCCTAACTTGGAATCATGAAGGAAAGCGACAAAAAACACATTACGTCGGGAAATAGAAGCAGATATGAAAAGCATGAATAACAACTGGAAAGAGCTGGAAAGGATTGCTCAGAACAGGGTTGGATAGAGAGTGCTGGTGGGTGGCCTATACTCTTCCACAAGGAATAACAGACGTAAACAATGCAAGTAAGTAAATGTCATTTTCATGTTTTATTCCATGCAATGTGTTATTTCGTTTGAAAACTTTCAATCATTTATACACTAACAGCCATTTACAACGGATGATTTTATTTTGAAAGAAAACAGAACAAAACTTGTTACATTACAACTGTCCTGTCCAAAATGTATACAACTTCTTTTTTATATCATACCAACATCATCAGCGACCGAACTAAAGTTGTGTGGGGGGGGCAATATTGGAAATCTGAGAACTTAGACATGGCCATAATTCAGTCACGGTATGCATATGCATATGATCAAAATAAATAAATAAATATTTATTTATTTATTTAAGAATTACGACAAACAAAATTAAAAACAAATAGAGCAAAACGTAACTGAATAAGTACTATACGGAAAGAAGAAATTGACCGGATCGGGGGTGATGGTGTAAAGAAATCGCTGTCTCCACACACACACACACATACATACATACATACAATTTGAGAAATAACTAGTAATACTACATTCAAATATGACTTTACCATAAAGACCAAACAGTCAAACTCAATATCTTACCAGAAAGATGTAACAGTATGATCAGTTGATTCGAGAGAAAAACAACTGATTGAAGCCACCTCTACACATGAAAATCGCTTATGTAACATAAGCGAACACATACACACACACACAGGATATGGGTTTCCTTGCCTCACCTCCAAAAAGTAGGACACATCTATGTAAACAACCCATGGCTTTAACCATCGTGATATATATGTACAATACATATTACTTAACCTTTCGCCTTGTTCTTATTACACCATTTTAAAGACAATCGAAGGTTAAATAGACACTTGGGAAAAGAGGGCTATATACACAAGCAACAAGTTTCTTCAACAACGAAATACAAAAGGATTTCTTGAGTAAACTACAATAATGAGGAAATATGTGTTGTTCTTGTCAAATTATAGGATTTCCTCCAATCGTTACTTTAGTTCAGTGTAACATAGATGAATCATTTATGGAAATTTCCTACCATTATTTTCGGATATATATATATAGAGAGAGAGAGAGGGAGAAAAATAAGATCATCAAATTCAATCAGGAAATACCTAAACTCATCCTATAGGAATGGATACATCAGGAACAATCAATAATATGGAAATGATGCAAAAACTTTAAGATTTAGAGTGAAATATTAGAAAGAAAAAGTGGATACATCTGAGTTCAAAATCAGATGATCAATGGTTTGAAGAACAGTCGTACCTCAAATGTGTTCAGAAGAATATATGTAAGCTGTGAAGAGATCACTTTCAGCGAACTTGAAAAAAACAACATTCAGGTCTTGTAACCAGTACAAAATCATTTGACCACACTGAATGTGAATCGAATGAGCCTACCAAGTCTCAGATTTACTTATTATTACATAGCAACTCACGTGCAATTGAGTGTGTTCTCATTTAACTCAGTTAAGCCCTTTTATTAACTTACTTAGCGGACAAAGTCTTCTGTACTATAACAACTTATTGTACCTTTACTATTGTTGTGCTTGTATGAGATATGTATGCTTGAACATTTGCTTACCGCCTACTACTCATATACTCATTCTGCTAGCTTTATTATTAAGTGCTTAATTGATTAGATGATCCATTTAACACTCTACGCTCTCAGTTCGCTGACTCACTCATTCGCATCATTGCTTTGTGGTCTGAGTCATTTGCTAATAAAACTGTAGTCGCTGATTCCTCTTTGCCTTCTGATTTCAAACACCGTTGAAGATTATATGGTAACGGTTTGGAAGACTGGGTGGTATCACCAGGCCTTTTGTTTAAACTTCGTGAAATCCGATCTCGAATTTCGTTACTTATCAAACCACTAAGTTATCTATGATACTCCACGAAATACACCGTAAACCGATTAGTGTCTTCATTGTATACCTCTTTTGATAATATAAGAACAAATAACCAAAAGTAGCACAAAACTCACCACTTCTATATTGTTGAAGTTGTTCTATAGAAAAAGGCCCAAATACATCTACATATTCATCCGGTACTACATTAAATTTAAAACAAAAGGTGAAATACATAAAAAGTGGAATAGGATGAGAAATTATTATAAAACAGACTGTATAACGGACAATTAATTAAATACAATTGAATAATTACTGAGTAATGACCAATCTCATGCTTGCCGAGTCCTTTTCAGTACTGAATGAATTCTACCAATCGATTTGTAATGTGGTCACAAATCTAAGGGACTTGATAGTGTGTAGATTATGTTACGACATTAACTGGTTGGAGGTAGTTGCTAGGATACTCTGGACCTAGGAGGCCATCTGTAGCCTGTATAGCTTGATGGTAGCGTCTCTGGTTGCGAAGAAGGGTTAGGGAGGTCCGAATTCTACATAAAGCATCGATTACGCTGATATGGCAAGTACAAATTGTTGACAAGTGTCAACTAGCACGAAACTTAAACCCATGGTTTTCTACAGACTGCCTCCAACCAATTAACATCTCAACCTGATCATCAATAGTAAAAGGAATATGGATACATAGCACAAGTCCTGAATAATATTGAAGTATATACCAGGCAAATAACTCATGTTGGATATTAATAAATAGTACATATACAGTTCTGCTTTAGTAAGTCAGTTATAATCACTGTAGAGCATGAAATAAATATGCATCCCCCAAGTTCCTACACCATATCAGTACGATAAGATAAATTCAAACAACATGAATACCGAGGAGTTGGAATTACCGTCATATTGCCAGTGATAATGCGAAAGACTTTAAACAACGAAAAGTAACACGATCAAAATCGAAACATACAAGTAATCACAAAAAAAGATAATTTACACGTTGTAGCAATGTTAAACAAATTATCGAGTTACAACGTAGATTTTATCATATAGAGACTTTAGTTTTAAAAAAGTATTGGAAAACGAAGTGCATTAAACATTCGTTTGCCCGCAAAGGCGCGTACCCACGGTTGTATCATAAGACCGAACTGACGATCTGTGGGTTTCGCATTCAGTAGTAATATACACTCATATACCTGATTTTAAACTTGATGGTACTTGTTAAGCAAAGTGTGCATGTAATCTTGAGAAAACTGATGCTCCCTGACGGATTCGACTGTGTCAACTAACGTCCAGGGTCTCTTGTCGACTACCTCCAACCACCATCTCGTCTCAACATAGTGCACGCGATATTGAGTCACCTAGAGTAGTTGCCACATTGCAACTTGATGTATATAATTCGATTTGTATTAAGGACTTAACATACATTATATTGGTCACCATTCAATGATCAATCAATTGCGGAATGTATGTGTGCTAAATGAAATAAAATATACAAGTAAAATAAACCCTGGCATATGAAGGTAGTGGGTAGGTCTTCGCTGGCAGAAAGGCTATAAACGCGTAACCGTATGAAAACATTTCGATGAGACAAGTAGACACCCCTCTCCCTCGACAACACCAAGGCACTTGGGGGAAAAAATTACTCTCCCAAGACTAAATCCCAGTCATATTGTCTAATATTTCTCCACAGTTGAATTGGTTATTTCGGTTAGAAAGTTTATAGTTTCTTACAAATGTATTTGTATCATCAACCCACTAGAACTGATGATTGCTCAATGCACTGAATAAAAAGTTACTACTAACGATCTAGGTACAGTTTTAGACCGTAATCTGAACAGACATTTTGTGTTTCAATGAAGAGAAACACAATCCAAATAGTCACAGATCGGTTTCATTGTGTTTTATGAGAAAATATTGTCAGTCTTAACTAGAATGAGTTCTGGAGGTTGGTGAGAGCCTTTAAATAGCAGTTCAATTTCTGAAAAAAATAGACGACGAAACATTTACATGTAGGGCCATATTTACGACAAAGACCAAATAAAAACAGCAGGAAGCAGATACTGATGAACGTTACTTTATGCAATGAATTCTGGTGAGTTTTTGAGAAGCCATGTAGATATCGGCAGTTCTTACTATAACAAAGTCATAATCTAAATTTACTAAGGAAGTACAGGCTTATATTTTGAGCTATAAGCTTATTCGTGTTGAAACAGATATTACTCAGCTGACTAGACCAAGGCAAGTGTGAAACCCAAGTACTCTACCAACCAGTAAACCATTGATTTTCCTGTTACGGGATCATGTACGAAAACTGTATCGTAAAATATAATCCATCGAAAAATTTAAATAATCAGACTATACATGTTGAATCAAAACACAACAAAATTTAGTAAAAATCATTTCCAATATCTGATAATTAGTAAACTATAAACACAAACTGTTAATAAACATAGAACTACTACTAACCGTTAGGAGCAATTCCTTCAGGATTGGCAGCAATCGACGGTGGAATAATGGTGTAACCTGCTTGAGCCAATGCTTTTAAAACCACAACAAGCGCTACTGAACTAGCTCTGAAACGAATATGCTGTGGTCGAACGCATAATTCATGATCACATGTATGAACCATGATGTTGGTATCGGTACTGGACATTGGTAAACCATGATACAGCATACCAACAATTGTATCTAATCTCCAAACCTAATAATAGAAATACAATCTATTGACGTTCATAGATAAATAACACAAATTATTAACAAATGAATACTTTTATTAAAACATGAAAGTAATATTTATGCTCAAATCTTTAGAACTGAAATTAAACAACACCGATATTACCTTTACCAGTCTTTAGTTTGATTTTCTTTATGGAAACAATCAGAATGAAAGGTTATCAAACATAAATAACGTCACACAACAACTATGTACAAAAGGACTGTTTAGTCATGTTCAGATATTAAACATTATTATTTATTATTATTTTATTTTAACACATAGATATTGGTACAAGAAGGCACCAAATACATATGCGCCACACAAATCTTATTCGATATGTGCGAGGGCTGTGATACTGCCCGGGTGCCCAAACCGAAGCAGGTGGTTTTCTTAGGGGGCCACACCCAGAGCCTTTGACCTAAAGGTCTAACCCACAAGGCAGTGGAGCATCGTAAGGAGATGCAGTCCCATGGTAGCCGGTGACCAACGATTGGTTCATACGCCATTTGTTCCCGCAGGATACTGGAGCCCATGTGCACCATCAGTTTGGGATCCGGTTAAAGCGCCGGACAGATATTAAACATGATTTCCTGTCATTTGATATGAAATCTTAAAAATACAAAAAAATAACTTTGAAAGGATAGAGAAGAATTTTATTTTAGGTGGATAGTTCTGGCGTTGTTGAGCTTTATTAAGCTCGATATTTTAATTGAATAGTTTCCATGGTTGTTCTGGACAACTTTATCTGACCCTAGTTTATTTATCTAAACACAAATATTATTACACGTGGGCACCAAATACAAGTGCGCTACACAATAACAATGAGGCCAGTAGCAGTTATAATTGATTTGCATGAGCTGTGAAACTGCCCGGATGCCAAAACCGAAGCAGGTGATTTTCTAAGTGGGGTTACACCCTAAGCTTTCGACCTAAAGGTCTAATCCACAAGATAGTGGAGCAACGTCAGGAGATGCAATCCCATGGTAGCCGATGACCAATAATTGGTTCATACGCCATATGTTCCTTCAGGATACTGGGGCCGAGGTGCATCACAGGCTTGTAATCAGGGTTTTCCAACTCTCCGAGATAGACTCCGTGTCCACCAACCCAGTTGAAGCGATGGACATTCGCTCCTCGTCCTCTTGAGTTCGTAAACAACACCCCGCCACAAGAAAGCAATGAGTAGGACTTCCCTGGCAGTGTCTGTATACGCGTGGCCTTGTGAGAGAATTTCGAGGGAGAGCGGACTTTCCATACACTCGGCCGTACCAAGGCATTTGATGTCATCTGCACCTAGCTCATTTAAGGAGTTTACAAACTTTGACACGGCTCATTCTAGCAGTCAGTCAGTGACTTTATCGATTGATGACCTACAAAACTCTGCCCTAAAATTGCTTAAAATTTAAATGACCCTTTATCACGTTTATTCTCAGGTTTAGTATTTGGCATATGTATCAATTTGTTAAAAAGAAACTTTTTGTTAGATAATTGTACTTTCTTTAGATCATATGTTCGTTTGAGGCCTGAATCAGTGTTTAGATCTTGTGAGCACTGTATCGCCATACACTCTTCATTGCCCTCAAATGCCCTGGTAACGTCGAGTATGAGGAGAGTCCGCCGTCGCTCTCCAAATGCTCTAATTATGACTATGTGTATATACCCACTGACAGGAAGGTCCAACTCACTCCATAAGAGGACGAAAAGAGAATATTCGACGACTAAACCGGGTAGGTGGGTACGGAGGATCCACCCATGGAAGTTGGAAAACTGATTCAAAATCAATGGTGCACATCTACTCCACGATCCTGAGGGAGCAAATGGTATATGAACCTACTCCTGTGTACCAGTCACCAAGGACCAGCATCTAACATTGCTCAACTGTCTTGTGGATTATACGTCTAGGTCAAAGGCTCGGGGAGTGGTTCCCTAAGAAAACTATCTGTTTCGGTTTGAGGAAAAGTGCAGCATTCTAGCCCTCACACGAATTTTGCGTAGCGCATATGTATTTTTGTATTTTTCTGTATCAATGTTAGTGTTTAAATAAATAAATAGTAGTTTACAAATCCCCATAGAATATTCAAAAATGAAGAATATTTGAGCGTCCTTGAAAAGGTGTGAAGCTTTGAAAGTGGGTATACTGACCCGTCCATGTACTCTTTCTAAATATATCTCGGTTTGTGGAACCGTCTATCCTTCTAGAAATATTCTTCATTTTTTAAATAAATAATACTTGAATCCATAAGTCAACTAAAGCTAGACCACCATGGAAAATTTGGAAGCGCTGGATGGTCACTTCGTGCTAATATGAGACTCCTCAGCAGTTCCCATCCACGATCCTGCACGCGGAACTCGAACCCAGGACCTTCGGTCACGCTTAACCTTACTACAATCTCCACAAACCGACATTCTGGAAATAATAAACTCTTCATTATAATCTAATTCTTCAGTGTACTAACCGGTGTTCATCACAAATGCAAGACATTTCACTACCATGGAATTTTGAGAAGTGAACTTCTTGATAATAGAATTTTACCAAGCAAAATAGTTGACACCAATTTGTTTTTAACATAAATAATATATGCACGGGCGTTGTGAAGATAAGTGAATTTAATTTAAATTGCTAATCTATCTAGATTACCAAACCACTGGCAACCTGGAAGCACCAGATGAGTTTCCTCCTAGAATGAGATCTCATGCTGATAATCATCATGTGCTCCCCAGAAACTATCTTCGAGAGGAAATTTTGAAGTTCTAGGGAGAAGCCTTGACTAGTGGAGTTTGAGGAAGGTATCCACAGAAGACAATGAAAGATGATGGTGCAATATCGTGGACAGATTAAAGTTAGACCTGTACACCATGAAATACCGGCTCAGTGGTCTGAAGGCTAAGTGTTCGCGCACGAGACCAGAAGTCTTGAGTTTGACTCACGATGCCGATTTCACGGACGTGCACTGCTGAGAATTTCTATACCAGGAAGAAACAGTTGTCTGGTGGTTATATTCTGCTATAAAATCACTTCGCCAACATCCTTGGGATAATCATGAGATAAAAATGAATCAAATTCTACAATGATTGAAAAACAAGACGCGTAAAATCATCCCAGTAAACAGTAGAAACTAAGTTGCATCCAGTGAATATAGACTTCAAAATGATTAATAAGCAAATTAACTCATTCTCCAGGTACTTAGACATTAGTCACACTGTGTGAAAGATGCTACTGCCTAGTTGCGCAAACCGAAGTGGAGTGTGGTTCGAATCCGAAACTTAGTGGCTGAAAGTTGAACACCTTAGCCACTAAGACACTGTTCACATACAAATTGACATTTAGGAAAGATATAAAACTTACTTTATCAGAACCTTTGCCACCATCAATGCGTCGCATACGGCCTTTAGCATCACCACGGCTTATAACACAAGAATGCGGATCATTTAAAGTATCCTCACTTCCAAGCCAACATTTAAGAAACCAAAATACTGAGTCACTGGGCAACTCTTTATACAACTTCTTGAGCAGATTTGATACAGCATCAGTTTCACTTCCAGCATTCATCTCCTAAAAAATGCGTGCAATTAATGGGAGTTAAGCTATATGTTTCGAATATTCTTCCAGTGATCAATGGAAAATATCCATTAAACCAAATATCATTCTTTCCTGAATGTAAATGCTGCTATGATATAATGCTTGAACTTAACTATTGTCCCAATCAGACTGAGTTTTGACTGGAACAATCACTTTTCATGATCTTATCAAACCACACAGGTCAGATGGATAGCAGTAGGACGGACGATTCCGGAATGCCCGAGTAGCAGAGATACGTCAAAACAAATCAACTAAATAAAGACTTTCTTAAATCTTTCTAAAGAGGTTATTTAGATTTATGCGGATGGCTTGAACGGCAGAAACCAATGCGTCATCTGAGTAGCTACGACTGATTTTGAAAATCATGTCAAAATCATCAATGATGACATAATATCAATTCAGCATTGCTTACATAATATACTCACAGATGTAGAGGACAAAACAATGCTCAACTTTGCTTATGGTAGTTACGTTCCCCAACCATTATTTACGTAATTTTCTAAATATATTTTCCCTCTCCGGATGTTAAATGTCTAAGTCTGGCCCTGCATTGTTCATTCCCATAAGACTAACTACCAAGTTATTACTCAAATACTACGTGAATGACCCAGTCAACCCAGAAAAGGTCCTTTGTTTATAGATAATGAAGATAAACTTTTGACCCACTATTCAATGAAACAATCAGAACGTTTTTTTATAAGTTTTGGTTTACTATCACATAATTCATCACATAGCACATTGCAGAGTTATATATAGGCATCATTAGGTCTTCGACAAGTGTCTAGTGTATTATGAAGCCAGATTTTCCTCATCAACGGGCTCCATCAGCTTTACTCATTGATAAAGTACATTACTTACGTTACCCCTCGTGGAGGAGCATAGGACACACCAGCAGATAACGTACATAAGAAAGAATTATTCATAAGTTTCGTAAGAGGTGATTTAAGTGCTAGTAAAAGGACAGACAGGAAACAGACTTATTGTGAGTGTTTTTCGTAGCAAACTTAAATAGGCATGACTACAAAAAAAAGTATTCCAGACCCTACTACAATAACTCAATTAAACTTTTGAGGCTGAAAGCCAAGAGAACGCATTGTATGATGAACAGCTGTTTCACTCAGATCCATAGGAATTGGAGGAGCTAATTTCCACACACTTTAGTTCTTACAACAAGGCATTTTTATGGCATTCCCAATCAACACAAACAATGACAAATCAAATATTGCATAGAGAATGACCTCTCCTAAGCTGGAAATTTCTAAACCATACAGACTATGCTAGGTAATAACTACTGAGTGCAAAAGGTGATAACAGCTTACTAAAGATAAATACCACAATACCATCCATCGATATGGTTAGGTTGTATTCATCAATTGAAGCACACATCCGTAAATCAGTTATCTTAATCACAGCTAAATTATAGGTCGCGAACTTTAATAATAAGCTCTATTTCAGATTGACAGGATTCTGTGTAATTTCAAAGTAGTAGTAGCATATTTTAGAGTCGGGATTGAGGTCACTAACAAATCCCGTCCAAGAGGTAAAAAAGAAATGCCGAATATTGTGAGCCACTTAAGAATGATAAAAAAATCACAATCAGCACACAGAAAAAATTGTGACCAAAAAGGTTCAAACTATTCATTACAGGGTTGAGTACATAAATGTATCCTAGAAGAATAGGGACGATAAGAATGGTGCCTTTCAGACCCAGCAGTAAAAGTAGACTACAATATAAAAGAGAACCCCTAATTATGTAACAAAGACTCGTTAATAATTTCAGAAACAATACCTAAATGAACCTCACATATCACCTGTTGGTAAAAAAAGCATCTACACGTGCAGATAACAAACGCTCACCCCGATTTTTAATGCTATGAGACTCCAATCACTTTGGCTCTGGCCGCTGTTACATGCCATGCGGCGGTTTTCTTCCCGATTTCGTTCACGCATTGATGAAACACCCCTAAACCACAAAGGAGCGATGCGCTTGCAGCGTCCAATTAAGGCCCGAACAAACAATGCTTCACTAGGCTTGGCAGCCGCATGTACAGGGAACTTATGTGAGCATTCGCTTGGGAGATTCGGGACCTGAAATTCTGAATTGAGGGAGGGTAGAGATGATTGCGCGGAAAAAACATTTGATGACTCCTCGGCACAATGGACAGACAAAGGCTTTGTGTTTGAGTCCGTAGAACTAGAAAGTGAATTGTGATTGCTTTTATCTGATTCTGAATAAAATTCAGCTTTTGTTTGGGATGACAAACATACTGTTGTCGAAGTATCCAATTTATCGGAGTCATTGAGCGAAAAACCAACTGAAGGTATACGAATCGAGTTTGAGTTTGGAAAGGAATCATCTTGGAGAACAGTACATGAAGGACTCAACTGATTATCACCGGGATTGTGAACAGAAAGAGGATATAACACTCCAGTGGACAGATTACTAAACAATGGTTCAGGTTTCACATTTATATTATTAGACTCCATGCAGTTTATAAATTAGAAATCCCATCCATGCTAGCAGTATGACCACTAAAACATCAACGTGAAGACCGGGCCCGAAAAACGTTTGTTCAAAATTGCACACAGCCTAAAGTTTCATACGCGCTCTCTACCACTAAAACCCCTGTTGTTCAAAATACATTTACTTACGCCAAAAATCTGTAATTATACTAAAATCTTATATTAAATTCTTGTCGCCTTCGGTTAAGTGATAATGTACTAAGATGTGCTTTCCCGCGGTGTATTCAGATATACACGCAACGTTACTTAGTGTATGGATTCACTCCAAGTACAATTTCCTAACAATCCTACAGATGTGCACGGGGATTGTAGAAACCATACTATGACCCCAATTTGCACAGGGACATCTGTAATTGGGATTAAATATAGAGATGGAGTTGTTCTAGCTGCTGATATGTTAGTTTCATATGGCTCCCTAGCCAAATATATGGATTTCGAACGCATGTTTAAGGTAAGCAAGGTTTTCTCCAAAACTAACTTCACTAGGTAAATCAGAGCACAGTTATGTGCTGTAGTGGTGATATGGCTGACTTTCAATTTCTCAAACATCACATTGAAGAGCTGACACATCAAGACAGTCTACTTTCCGACGGCTTTAAACTGAGGTTTGTATCTTGGCTAATTTGGTTATTTTTGCTTTCAGCCCTCATGCTCTCCATAGCTGGATTACACGTGTCCTATATAACCGTCGAAGTCGTTTGCAGCCACTGTGGAACACCTATTTGGTCGGAGGTTTGGAAGCAAATGGCGAGCCCTTCATTGGGTATTGTAGTATGCTTGGTGTTTGTGAGTCACGTTCCATATAAACATAGTTTAATTTTGAACCATCTGAGTATCTCGATTTTTTTCCACTCCAACGCCCTATCTGTCTTCCCTGTTCCAACAATGGATGTGACATCACATCCACCAAATTGCCATAGTAAATAAGGCCGACCGTAATACTATTTGATCAGAAATGTAAAACCGGTAAGGCACTGTCTTAGGACATCCGACATACCATGCTATCCTTTTGTTCAATCAATGAGAGGCTAGTATAGAATAATCTCAAAGACATCGGATTTCACCTTTAGCGAGACCATCATTTTTAAATGACTTGAGTAAGCCCAGTTGTCACTCAAATATCTCTTAAACTCCAACTTTTTCAGCCCTAAGTCTTGAGTAATCTACAATGTTCTACGTCCTAGGCAGCCTGGTAATGTTATTATCCTGCACATCTAATAACACCAGTGGTAAAGTATGTCTTCAATGCTCAGTTCAGGGCAAACGAGCCTCCTAATAGCCGTCTTAACGCCTCACAAGTAGCGTCCATGTAGGTCTCTTCTTGCATATGCTCCCGGACTTTTTACACATATATAGAATAAATATTGTCTATGTTCTGAATATCAGACATTGTTGGGTTACTTACTGTGTCACAACTTTCAAATTGAATAGCATAAAGACATAATATTATAACGACAATTATCAAGAGTTGTAGCTTGTCGAAAATTATATCTTGTCCCTAGTTTAACAAGTATTCGATACTAATGACCTGTTACGTTTAATTCACTGGACTCATAATGTTTGTATTGGTCAACTATTTACAGTTGCGTCACAAGCCTATAGTAACATTCTTATTACTCTGATTCTCAGTCTCCTAGACCTTACCTTTTTAGTCAACCCTTATCATCTTTGTAGCATTCACCGAAAATTATGTTGCGACTGGCTTCGGTGCATACCTTGCAATGCCTATTCTAAGAGAATGTTTGGAAATAAAAGCAGGGGGTGATCCAAACAATATAACAGAAGAAGATGCTATCTCAACAATAACAAGTGCAATGAAGCAATTATACTTTCGGGATTGCCGGTAAATATCTCAAGTTTTTTTCAGATTATCTCAATTTCATTTAAGTCAAATTAATTTTTGAAATGTATTATTTAGTAAGTAAAGAGTTTTGAATGTGCAAGATGGTGGCTAGAAGCTGATTCCTAATCAACCATCAATTCACAGGTTCTTAATATTGTGACAAAAACTACATTTTCTTTTGGGCATTTACTAGGGTATCGATGAACATACTTAACTGATTAGACTCTAAGAAGTGCTTTTACAGGACTGGAAGGGGGTTATACCCACACTCACTCTTAGTCAATCAGTTATGCTCAACATAGAACCTAGCACTTTTACATTAGTTCGAGTTTCCATACTCTGTTACAACAACGAGATGAAATTTCCAGGGCGAATCCCAAAATAGTAGAATTACTAACAGTATTTGTGATGCTTAAAAAGACTAGTCTCCAATGAATTGCTGACATTCAGTGGCAACACCATGTTAGTAATGCAGAGGTACGGCAGCTTGTGTCCAGACACATTGACGGTGGTTCAATTAGTGTCATCATCTTGAAGCACCGTCGTCGGTGACCTGAACATGAACTACGAATATCATATCAATGAATTTCACATGGTGCATTATTTGCCAACGTTAGGACTGGTTGGGAAAAGCTGAAATGTAATCAGTTTATGACATAGTGCCATAGTATAATACAACACTGTACAGGACTGACATCTGTCGGATCTTCATGACTCTTTCTGTGGTCCGAGGATTGGCGCAACTCAGTGGTTTGAAATATTATCAGATATGACTCGAAGTTAGGACTTTCTCACTGAAAGGATTCGCTTGGGTTGCATTTTACTCAGCCTCTTTCCTTTATCTCCTCACAACCTCATTTTCTTGTTTGCACAGTGCACATTTTATTTTGGTGTTTATTTGTACTATTATATCAGTTTTAAATAAGCAAATAAACAGTCTCCCAAGTTGAAGATTGTTCTACTCTTAACAAAGTAGTAGAATTAATACTGGGGCATTAACCACCTTTTCTTTCGGTAATTAAAAGTGACACCAGTCCATGAAGTCATTAACAATTGAACTGACATCCATATTGATGAGTATGGACTACCTGGTTGGGGTCCGCGTGATTATTGTAACCAAATTTGTGCGACTTTGGATGAATTAGCTCAAAAGCGTTAAAAGCAGCACAGGCTCATTCACTTTTTATCGTCTACTAGAAACTGACGTTCTGTCATCATACTCATCATAATCTCTTCTGTTTCTACTGATACTGTTACATCTTCTACCATTCTGGGAGTTTTTGCCGTGCTAATGTAGTAGTATTACGACCTGAACTGACAGTCATACATAACAGGTTCTACGTTGCTTATGTAAAAAGTCTGATATTGTTCACATATAATTTGACCATCGTGTCACTGTTTAGTTTTTCTTGTTTCTTTCTTGGAAATTAACAGTGCATTCGATACGTATCAAATGGCTGTCGTCAATAAAGAAGGAATACAAATAAGTGGCCCATTACGCCTGAAATGTGATTGGTCTATTGCTGAATATGTAAAGGGATATGATTAAAAGATATTTTGTTTTAAAGCTTCTTTTTATGGGAAATAAATTTTTTGATAGGAAAAATATTTTTCAGCCGATAACTTTTGTTTCACAACCTACATCAATCCGTATTTGATGTTATCATTATTGTTAAGTTTTTAAGTGTTCGATATGTTACTTACTTACGCCTGTTTCTCCTAATGAAGCATAGGCCACTGACCAGCATTCTCCAACCCACTCTATCCTGGGACTTCTTTTCTAGTTCTGTCCAATTGTTGTTCATTCTTCTCCATTTCTCGACGTAATGTGTTCTTTGTTCTTTCTCTCCTCCTTTGGCCTTAAGGAGTTGTTCGGATATAATAACTTATGAATAAATGGTCAGTCAGATGCGAGCAATATTTGTAAGGCATCTGTGATCAAATACTAGTAGCTTACAAGTGTCTTCTACTCTAAAAGGCCATGTTTCGCTGCCGTAAAGTAAAACAGAACGGACTGTCGCGCAGTATACTCGTCCTTTTATTGATAGACGGATATCTCGCTTTCGCCATAAGTGACGTAAGTTGGTAAAAGCCAAACGAGCTTTTCGAATCCATGCTGAGATTTCGTCAGACACCAACCCATTAGGGCTGATCAGACTTCCACGATAAGTGAAGTTGTCAACGCGTTCGACTACTTCACTCCCTATCCTTAGTCCAGGTGTTGACGCAGACCAGTTCTGAAGCAACGACTTGCATTTCGAGGGGGGAAACGCATCCCAAACATCCTGGCATTGTTGCTCAGTGCTATCAAAAGACTCTGCATTTTATCAGCGTCTTCGCCAAACAGAACATGTCATCAGCGTATTCTAAGTCGATAAGTGGACCTCCTGGAAAAAGATCAATACCCGAGAATCCAGTCGACGAGAACGTTATTGCCATCAGTAGATCTATGATGAAGTTTAAAAAAATGGAGGAAGTGGATAGCCTTGACGGATACTACTTGAGGTTTCAAAAGCAGATGACAATTCGCCGTAAGTTCTGACTCGACTGATAGTGTTCGAGTAAAGAGCCTTCACAAGGTTTATGTACTTTTGAGTTAGGCCTTTCAATGACAGGCACTGCCACTGAATAATTGGTGACCTTAATGACTATGCATATCATCAACCGTTATATAATTTTAGGATTATCTATTTTGATTCGAATTCTTACCATTATTGAATAAGTTTTAGTTTACTCATTTTATCGATAATAAATTAAGAAATATATTCATATGAACAGCTAGTCACAGCACAAAATGTAACATATTTTAGTTATACTCTGAATTCTTTAGTCTTATATTTGTTTATAAGATTACTGAACTTTAGTAAATTTTATAGTGAGACTATCATTTATGAATAATCTTTGAATGATTTCAAATTAACCTTCAATCATATTTTAGGTAGAAACAAGATTATGACTTAGTATGAGGCATTCGGATTAAGAGTTATGGTTTTCATCATAAATTGACGTCACTTATGATTGTCAAAATGCTATATGACCATGTGAGTAAAGGAATTTTACATAAGAACTCTAAGGTTACTGGTTTAGTCGTGAAGCTTTAATTTTCTTTATAAACAACATTATCAATACATTTTTCAAAATGAACTGTTTAATCTCTTGTAGTAAAGTCTTCATAAGAAGGATATAGTTTATGCAGATATGTCATTGGTACTAATTTTTGGAATGAACAATTATAATGGTA